GCCGCCTTTTCCAAGAAGCTCACGTGTCTGAAAGGTGCACTCCGTTCGCTGTCACGTAAAAGCAACAGACATTTGTGGCGGAGGGAGGAGGAGGTGCGGGAGAAGTCATATGAGGTAGCTTTCTGGAAGCAGCTTGGCAGTCAGCGCCCAAAAGAAGGGCTGACTGAGAGGGTTCCCTGGATCTTAGTCAGAGAAGATGTAAACTGACAGAAAGGCAAGGCTCCTTAAGAACTAGTCTGCTCTCTTTGGAGTAATGAGACTCATTAGTTTAAAACACACACACACACTTTTGCTTCTTGGGAGGGGAGATGTTCCTCTCTGCCTTTGCCTTGTGGTCTTGGAGATTTTTGCTCATCACAGCAGAGATAAGCTGCTTCATGCTTGTCACAACTCATCTTTCTGTGCAATCTGCTGAAGAAAGACAGGAACTTGCCCTGTATAAAGTAGCCAAGGGCTCCCTGGGAAGCTTAAGAAGGGTTTAGTTAGTGTAATCCTTTTGATTTACATTAATGCATCTTCTTCCTAAGCATCCCTTTGGGTCTTCCTCGTTTTCAGTGATGGAGAAGCCACACTCTGCAGGGGCAGTTGGATATCTGTGCTTGACCATCAGCCTCCCTCCCTGGCTGGGACTGATGGGAAGTGGAGTTGTCTGACAACATCTGGCTGGTCGCCACTCATAGTTCTCTTAGGTCATAAGGTGGTTCCAAAAATGGGCTTATATCCCACCTTGCAAGGCAGTAGGGAAGACTGCTTGGGTAATGTACCCAGTAGATGAAATCCTGTTGCTTGGTGTAGTACATTGAGTGAGGTTCACTGAATCCGTGGTATTTGGTGAGTTAATTCCTCCATAAGTGCCATTGATTCAATGGACCTACTCTGGCTGTGATTCTCTAAACCTGTGGTACCCACCCTTGGGTAACCAAGTGTTTTTGGACTACAACTCCCTGAAATCCTGGCCAGCACAGCTGACCACACTGACGTTTTCTGGGAATTTTAGTCCAAGAACATCTGGGGACCCAAGGTTGGGAACCACTGCTCTACACTAAACAACAGGATTTCAGCAAGTATGTTTAAAAAAAAAAAAATTAAATATGATGTATAAATTGTTGTTTCAATCTATTGGGGTTTTCTTGGCAAAGATACTGGAGTAGTTTGCCAGTTCCTGCTCTAGACACTGACGTTTTCTGGGAATTTTAGTCCAAGAACATCTGGGGACCCAAGGTTGGGAACCACTGCTCTACACTAAACAACAGGATTTCAGCAAGTATGTTTAAAAAAAAAAAAATTAAATATGATGTATAAATTGTTGTTTCAATCTATTGGGGTTTTCTTGGCAAAGATACTGGAGTAGTTTGCTAGTTCCTGCTCTAGGTGGACCATAGTAAACTATAGCAAGTTCTTAAAGAATTGCTCATTACCCCCAGAATTTTCACTTTTAACCCATTTGGGGTAATTTACCCCTGTTTTCCGACCTATGTTCTAGGATAACCATCTTAAATGCTTTTCTTGTGACACCACAACTGATGCCAGCCAGTCTCTGCATCAGAGTAGATTTAATTTAAATCACAATTTAAATTTTTTAAAAATCAGATTGCTTTGATGACTTAAATTAAAAAGTAGATTTTCAAAATTTAAACCATTATTTAAATTGTGATTTAAATGAATTCAAATTTTAAAAAACACTAATTTTTATCCACCCTGTTCTGCATCATCAGTTAAATAAATGCTATTGCATGGTTTAGGGAAATCTCCCTTAACCAGGCACCCTCTAGAAGTGTTGGAAATTGGTTCAGAACTTCTGTTAAACCCCCAGCTAGCACAGTCGTTAGCCACCATGATGGGAGTTGTAGTTCAAAATATGGGGTGGCTTTATAAAAATTTTATAGCTGGGGCCTCTGCCACGCTCTTGTGTGGCCAGCTCTTTGCTAACCCAATTCCTTCACTTTTAGCCCAACATAATACACTAGTCATGTGCTATGAAATCAATTCTGACTAAGTCAAACTGTGCTATGAAATCAATTCTGACTAAGTCAGACCTTTTCAGGGTTTTCTGGATAGAGGATACTCAGAAGTGGTTTACCCTTTCCTTCTTCTGAGAGTGCCCTGGGACTGTACAGCTTGCCCAAAGCTACACAGGCTGGCTTTTATTGCACGAGGCACAGTAAGGAATCAAAGTTCCAACCTCTGGCTCTGAAGCCAGATACCTAAACCACTGAGCTATCCAGCCAGCTTTAGCCCAGCGTATAGAAGTGTAAAAAAAAAATGAAACCTGGCTTACCTGAGAAAATTTTCAACTGTAGATTTTTAGCATATGGGGTTGTTGTAGTTAAACGTGTAAGAGCAGAGCCAGTAGCAACAGTAACGAAAGTTACTATAGCTAACATCCCTGATCAGGAAATTTCCAGATGCGTTAATCTACAAGTACCACCAGGTTGGGGAAGTCTGGTTTAGAGATTAGCAATAGATTGGCAGCCATTGAGCTAAATAAGATGTGCTGGATCACATTCCTGCCCCTTCTTTAATGGGCCCCATCCCTCCTATGCCACCTCCACCTCCCTTTCCTGATTTGTTTACAGATTGGAGTTCCTTCCAACTGTTTTATTTTATTGTTTGCTTTAAACCCACCATGTCATTCCCTGTACATGGCACATTTCCACATTTCATAATATTGACATCTCTCTTTCTGTGAAGGAGACAAATGAGAAGGAAACACATGGAGAGATGGGAGATAAAAGAGCAGCAATTGGGGAAACGCAAGCAAATGCACTTAAACATGCTTAAATTGATTACCGTTAGGGGGGGAAATGGCATTGGAGTTTCTGCCCAAGGCCTGGAGGAGATTTTGATTAAAGCATGAACGGGAGAGAGGCACCTTCTTTGGCATGCTGCTTAAGGCTCAAACTATTTTGTATGAAATGCAGCCGGGTGATGGCCATGGAGAGAAAAATGGCAGCTTCCTTGCCCACAGGAAGATGATTATAGGCAAGTTAACAAATGACAACAACAACAGTGTACAGTAATTTAGCATCTATATAGCATGCTTTGAGTGTTCAAAGTGCTTCTCACAGATTATCTGACTAATCCTTGCCACAACAGGCCTGGAGGCAAAACGCTTATCATCATGATAATTATTATTATTATCTTCATGTTGCAGACAGAGGCTGTTAGAAGGAGGGGAGGGAAAGTTAATGTCATGTAGAAAGTCTGTGGCTTTAAGGAAATATGACATCTAGGACCTTCCCCACTTTCTGGTGTTTCTAGCTCCACAGCTCCATTTTTAGCAGCAGCCCAACATGCAGTAATGCAAAAGATGAAGCCGAGCAAACCCAGGAGAAGTTTCAACTGCTAATTTTTAGCATGTTGGGTTGCTCCAGCTAAATATATATGCACAGAGCCGGTAACAACAGCAATAAAGGGTCACCTCTACAGATGCTATAGCTAACATCTCTGACAGGGCATCTTCTAGATGTGTTATATGTGTTACAGGTCCCATCATCCCCAGCCATCTTGGAATAGGTCTACTGACAGGGCGGGGGGCGTTGTGTGAATTACTATGTTCAAATACATCTGCAGTTTGCTTTGTTGGGAGAAATAATGTTGCACTGTTTTTGCTTTGATACTTAGCTTCTGGTGGTCATATCTTTTCCCAGATATCTGAGGAAGTGGACTTGATCCACGAAAGCTCATTGTTAGTTTTTCAGGTGCCACAACATTTTTGTCTTCTTAATTTTTTTATTTTTGTTTTTGCCAGATACATTTTTCACTCTAGTATCTGAGGATGTTGACTTGATCCATGAAAGCTTATATTCAAGTACAGCAGTTAGTCTTTGAGATGGCACAGCATTTTCATTTATTGTGTTTTTCTTTTTGTCTGAGTAGTCACTGGACTGCCCCATGACAGAACCTTGTGTACTCCAGCTGTTCATCTTCTCTGTCACTTTCTTTCTCTGTCTGCCTTTGAGGAGATTTTGGGATGCTTGTGTATGCTTTAAAAATGCTAACATTCTTATATGGTATATACTACTGTAGTTACCTTTCTACCTCAGTGAATGTTGCTCTAAATGTGTTCTGCATGTAGCTATTCTATAAATGCAATGATATCCCTAGTGAAAAATATAATATTCTGTTCCACATTGTTTAGCTTCTTCAGTGGTTGTTTTATTGAATCCAGCATAGGTTATTATATAGCAAATAAATAGAGCGTAAAGAGCCTTGAGCAATGCATAGTAATAATAGGTGTGGAGTGTTGGGTTTCTTTCCGACCTTAATCTTTTATGTGAAGGTTGGAGTGTTCTCCGTATGGTGGAATATCCTATTTTCACCTGGGAAATGTTAGAAAGCATGTAATTTGAATTTTAAGGCTGCAATCTAAGACCATGGGTTATATACTTCTGAGTAAATGTTAGGTTAGGAACAGGCTGAAAGAATTCAGACAATATTTCCATGGCTCGCGTGCTGAAGCAAATTCAGTTTGCACAGTTACAACCCTCAATTACTTTATAGGCTGTCGGGTTCTAACAAAAGATATGGGGCAGAACCTGTTTTCAAGTACTAAATAGAAAAGACTTTAAACACCATTATGTTCCCAGTCAGGCTGAGTCAGATTAGCGGCACTGAACCAACCATTCACCCCTGTAGGAGTGGTCCTTGCATAACCCTGAGTCCAAAAGCACAGGAGGTGCCCACCAGAGTAGATTGATTTACGTTAAAAAAAATATCATTTAATCATGATTTATTTCAATTTTATTTTTAAAAAATCATTGAGTTTTATCCACCCTGGTGTTTACATTTGCAAGTTTTTAACACTCGAAGGGACAACCCTCTCTGTGGCCGAAGTCCCTTTGCCTCTTCCTTCACTTGTTATGTTGGAGTGGAAAGTCCCTTTCTATGCATTTGGAAAGCAGCTTGAGTGCCCCCCCCCATAAGTGAGTATCTCTTGATCTCCAGTCAGGAAGAATCTTAGCATCACCTCATGGGAGTTTTGGCCTTCTTCCCATCAGGGCTCAGCTGATTCCTACACCAGCCGCCCATCGTTGGACTCCGACGTGTCACTAGAGGAGGAACGCGAGGGTGCGAAGCGTGAAGTGGAGAACCAGGCTCAGCAGCAGCTTGAGAAGGCCAAGGTATTGATGGGATGGGAAAGTGAATGGCCTTGGCTTGGGGTTGGTGGAAAGAGGACTCCTGAGTCCATTCAGGAGATTTGCCCTTGAAACAACTGGACTGGAGTAATTCTAGATGACATTTGTCATGCAGTTGCCTCACTGCAGTCACAGGGATTCCACAGATGATCACACCTCCCCTTGTCTTCCTTCATGTCTTCCTATTCCTTCGTCCACCTTTTTTTTCCTACCAGAGAAATATGTCATGCAGAGGAGAATATGCAGTCATTTACAATGTATTTTACTTGGTAGGACTGAGATCCTTCTGTCTGTCCCAGCACGCCTACAATTTTTTTGAAAATTATTATTACATACAGTATTCTTGAAGGCCTTCACAGCTGGGATCCGATGGTTGTCGTAGGTTTTTCGGGCTGTTTGGCCCAAAAAGCTTCAGAACACGGCCAAACAGCCCAAAAAACCTACAACAACCATATTATGTATTATTATTATTTTTGCCATGAGGAGGCCTCGGAGGGCTTTTCTGAGGATAAAAACACCTTTTGAAAAGAAAACTTTTGGAGATGGGTAGGGCAAAGAAGTTTTAGTGGCCCTCAGCCTTCTGGAAGCTGCCCACACCTGGTGTATAGTCATATGTGCGAGGAAGCCCATGGGGGTGGGGGGTAACTAGTGCATGTTCTGTGGTAACAAGTACAGACTAGACTGGGAACCAAACTAAATTTTACATAACAAAACATGGACAACAGGACAATCTTAGACATGCCTATTCAGAAGCAAGGCCCGGTGTATCAGTGGGACTTACGTCCACCTAAGTGTGTGTCTTTGATTACAGCAGAAGAGATCTGGTGAAGAATTAGATTGTCTCTTTGGTTCAAATTTTGCTAGAGCTGTGAACTTACTAGGTGTTAAAGACTGGAGCCCTTGCCTTATCTCTCTCGTCTCCTCTATGTGTGGAGAGTCACATTGTCCTAGTTTACAAGGCTGTTGTAAGAACTATAAAAACCTCTATTTACTTACCTGCCTATTGCTGGGATATTCCTGCTTAGGTTACAGGATAGTTTTGAGGTGGTTAGGCAAATTTTGGTTTTCTGTCTCCTTCCCCCCCCCCCTTTTTATCAGAGGGTTTTTCTCCCCACTGTCCTAGGGAACTTTGCTGGTGGGAGGTGGGAGTGTGTTTAGCATTATCGCCATGGCAGCCATATTCAGCAATACCTTTGGGGTTTGAAGAACTGCCTCGGCCTCCCTTGCGCTCTAGCAGTTTGTGGCCACATTGTCAGGGGCTGAGGGGACGTTTGAGCCTTTGAGTCTTCATCCCCATATTTTCTCCATCAGGTTTCTTCCTCTAAACCTCCTGCATTGTAGTGTTCTTAATTCATCTCATCTTAAAAGGTGAGGTGTTACGGATACGAGATACATTAGGCTGAGGTTGGTCCAAAAGCATTCTGAGAATTTAGGAACTAAGCTGAGGTTTGAGCCCAGATGCCCCAAGTCACGTATTCTAATCCTGCTACATTACAGTGGGCTTTTACAGAGATCCTCCAGATCTCAAAGATTCCCTGGAGAAAAGTTGATCAGTGGGCTCCTTTAATCCAACAAAGGCAGCCAAGGAACATAGAAAAGAACCAGAATCCTGTTGGCTAGGCCTTCCTGGGGCATTCCAGGACTTACATTCCTTGAAGTAACTTCTGCCTCCTCTGTCGGGCTGGCTGAATAACTCTATGAGTTAGGTGTCTGGCTGTAGGGCCAGAGATGAGTCGTTCAATTCCCCACCGTGCCTCCCACACGGAGAGTCCACCTTCATAGCTTGGATCAAGCTGCACAGTCCCTTGGTGCCCTCAGAGGAAGGGTAAGGTAACCCCACTTCTGAGTACTGACTACCTAGAAATGCCTGGAAAGATCTGCTATAAGTTGGAATTCACTTGACAGCATGCAATTATTGTTATTATCTCCGTTGCAGAGTCCTCTGCTCAGGCACCTCCCATATGCATTCGAAACCCATTAAAACTTCTCGCAAGCTGCCTCAGGAAATAGCAGACCTCATTAACTCTAAGGTGCTCTTCTTGAGAAGTTCTCTCCAGTTTCCTGAGATTCCACATTTGTCCCTCAGACTCCATCATTTGCCTTTACTAGAGTCAGCCACAATGATGATGGTGGATGATAGTTTCAAGCCTCTTTTATCGTCTAGGGCAGTGGAATCTGCCAGAGCACCCAATTACCTGGAGCTCATACCCCACTTCTGATCTGGCTTCCCCCTACAGCACAAGCCGGTCGCATTCGCCGTTCGTACTAATGTCAGCTACTGTGGTGCATTGGATGAGGAATGTCCCGTGCAGGGGTCGGCCATCAACTTTGAAGCCAAAGATTTCTTGCACATCAAAGAGGTGAGGGACAAGTATAGCTGGGGAAGGGTGGAAACAGGCTGTATTTCTAGTACAGTACTTCGGTTTCCAGTGTTAGAAAGAAGACTGAAGATGTCACTTTGTGGTTGCGGGGGAAGAGGAAGTCATTTTTGTTTTATACGAAATTGCCTTCTTCAAGACACTTGGCGTTCCTCGCTGTTCCCTTTGATTGGAAGACAGTCAGTAGACCCTTCATGCACTACTGACTATGAGATTCTGCCTGCCGTGGCTGAAAATGCCTCTTTTCTATTTTCCTTTTCCTGTGTGGGGAAAGGGGAGGAGAACTGAAGCCAGACACACACTTTGCCAGTGCTTGAGGGAGCTCTCTGAGTGCTGTGGTTGGTAGGACTCAAGTGTCTCCTGCAAGCCAGCTGAGTGCACTCCACTCCTTTCCCTCCTGCTCTGCTCTACTCTTGTCATTCATCAGTAGAGAGCTGTGACAGAGAGGTATCTGCCCCCCCCCATTTATAATTTTCCACCCGTGAATTAAGGCAAGAAGGTACATCATTAACTGGTTTTTTCAAACAGTTTGTTGAAAAATTAGTTTGTTTATGTTTGAATGCAAAATAAACTAACACAAACTAGTACCCATCCTGTCACTCCAGCCACCCTTGATCCAAACCACAGTCTCAAAATGGAGGCAGGGCAGCTGTGTGGGGGGGAGAGTGGTAGAAGAAGATGGGACAAGCCCATAAATGGATTTTAAAATGGATTTTATACTGTTTAATTTTGTGCAAGACTCCCACCTATTTAAAAAAGTTATGCAGTTGTCACCTCAGTAAGTTCCACTGGCTAATACTGGACTTTGAGTGGTCGGGCACTGGGGTTGTAGCTTTCCAGTGCTGGAAAATAAAATGCTTCATTCATTCATTTGTCGTCGTTTAGTCGTGTCCAACTCTTCGTGACCCCATGGACCAAAGCATGCCAGGCCCTCCTATCTTCCACTGCCTCCCGTAGCTGTGTCAAATTCATATTGGTTGCTTCGCAGACACTGTGCAGCCATCTCATTCTCTGTCTCCATATCTTCCCCTTCTATTTCCCAGGAGGTGATGGGACCAGTGGCCATGATCTTAGTTTTTTTGATGTTGAGTTTCAGACCGTTTTTTGCACTTTCCTCTTTCACTCTCATTACAAGGTTCTTTAATTCCTCCTCACTTTCTGCCATCAGAGTGGTATCATCTGCATATCGGAGGTTGTTGATATTTCTTCCGGCAATCTTAATTCCGGCTTGGGTTTCTTCCAGTCCAGCCTTCCGCATGATGTATTCTGCATATAAGTTAAATAAGCTGGGGGACAATATACAGCCTTGCCGTACTCCTTTCCCAATTTTGAACCACTCAGTTGTTCCATGACCAGTTCTAACTGTTGCTTCCTGTCCCACATATAGGTTTCTCAGGAGATGGATAAGGTGGTCAGGCACTCCCATTTCTTTAAGAACTTGCCATAGTTTGCTGTGGTCCACACAGTCAAAGGCTTTTGCATAGTCAATGAAGCAGAAGTAGATATTTTTCTGGAACTCTCTGGCTTTCTCCATAATCCAGCGCAAGTTAGCAATTTGGTCTCGAGTTCCTCTGCCTCTTCGGAATCCAGCTTGTACTTCTGGGAGTTCTCGGTCCACATACTGCTGAAGCCTACCTTGTAGGATTTTGAGCATAACCTTGCTAGCGTGTGAAATGAGTGCAATTGTACGGTAGTTGGAGCATTCTTTGGCACTGCCTTTCTTTGGGATTGGGATGTAGACTGATCTTTTCCAATCCTCTGGCCACTGTTGAGTTTTCCAAACTTGCTGGCATATTGAATGTAGCACCTTAACAGCATCATCTTTCAAGATTTTAAATAGTTCAATTGGAATGCCATCACCTCCACTGGCCTTGTTGTTAGCCAGGCTTTCTAAGGCCCACTTGACTTCGCTCTCCAGGATGTCTGGCTCAAGGTCAGCAACTACATTGTCTGGGTTGTCCGGGATATCCACATCTTTCTGATATAATTCCTCTGTGTATTCTTGCCACCTCTTCTTGACGTCTTCTGCTTCTGTTAGGTCCTTCCCATTTTTGTCTTTTATCATGTTCATCTTTGCGCAAAATGTTCCTCTAATATCTCCAATTTTCCTGAACAGCTCTCTGGTCTTTCCTTTTCTGTTATCTTCCTCTATTTCTTTGCATTGTTCATTTAAGAAGGCCCTCTTGTCTCTCCTTGCTATTCTTTGGAAGTCTGCATTCAAGTTTCTGTAACTTTCCCTATCTCCCTTGCATTTTGTTTCCCTTCTCCTCTCTGCTATTTCTAAGGCCTCGTTGGACAGCCACTTTGCTTTCTTGCATTTCCTTTTCTTTGGGATGGTTTTTGTTGCTGCCTCCTGGACAATGTTACGAGCCTCTATCCAAAGTTCTTCAGGCACTCTGTCCACCAAATCTAGTTCCTTAAATCTGTTCTTTACTTCCACTGTGTATTCATAAGGGATTTGGTTTAGATTATACCTGAGTGGCCCAGTGGTTTTTCTTACTCTCTTCAGTCTAAGCTTGAATTTTGCTATGAGAAGCTGATGATCAGAACCGCAGTCAGCTCCAGGTCTTGTTTTTGCTGACTGTATATAGCTTCTCCATCTTTGGCTGCAGAGAATATAGTCAATCTGATTTCGATATTGCCCATCTGGTGATTTCCATGTATAGAGTCGCCTCTTGTGTTGTTGGAAAAGAGTGTTTGTGATGACCAGCTTGTTCTCTTGACAAAACTCTATTAGCCTTTGTCCTGCTTCGTTCTGAACTCCATGGCCAAACTTCCCTGTTGTTCCTTTTATCTCTTGGCTCCCTACTTTAGCATTCCAGTCCCCTAGAATGAGAAGAACATCTTTCTTTGGTGTCAGTTCTAGAAGGTGTTGTAAATCTTCATAAAATTGTTCAATTTCAGTCTTCTCAGCAATGGTGGTTGGTGCATAAACTTGGATTATTGTGATGTTGAAAGGTCTGCCTTGGATTCGTATTGACATCATTCTATCATTTTTGAGGTTGTATCCCATTACAGCTTTTCCCACTCTTTTGTTGACTATGAGGGCCACTCCATTCCTTCCATGGGATTCTTGTGCACAATAGTAGATATGATAATCATCTGAGCTGAATTCGCCCATTCCTGTCCATTTTAGTTCACTGATGCGCAGGATGTCGATGTTTATTCTTGCCATCTCCTGTTTGACCACCTCCAGCTTCCCAAGGTTCATAGATCTTACATTCCAGGTTCCTATGCAGTATTTTATTTTGCAGCATTGGACTTTCCTTTCAGTTCCAGGCACGTACACAGCTGAGCATCCTTTCAGCTTTGGCCCAACCACTTCATTAGCTCTGGAGCTACTTGTACTTGTCCTCCACTCTTCCTCAGTAGCATGTTGGATGCCTTCCGACCTGAGGGGCCCATCTTCCAGCATCATATCTTTTAGCCTTTTGTTTGTGATCATGGGGCGTTCTTGGCAAAGATACTGGACTGGCATTGCCATTTCCTACTCCAGGTGGATTGCGTTTAGTCGGAACTCTCCACCATGACCTGTCCGTCTTGGGTGTCCCTGCACGGCATAGCCCATAGCTTCTCTGAGTTACTCAAACCCCTTCGCCATGACAAGGCAGCAATCTATGAAGGGGAGTAAAATGCTTAGCTAATGCCAATTCACGAGATTTTATAGCATTGAAAATGAACATTCTGTTACTCCCTCTAAGGATTTATACTTTAAAATATACAGGAGAGGAGATGTTTACTAACCTGAGTAACCAGCTGATGAGAGGGATTGAGAAAGGCTGGTTACTCAAAGGCCAGAAGGTTATTCAAAGGGCCTCATCCTCCCTTGTATATGTATGTGTAAAAGCAAGTTGGGAAGATGCCCCACCCCCAGCTTATGGCTTTCTGTTATGATGTCCCTCCAGAAGTACAGCAATGACTGGTGGATCGGGCGGCTAGTGAAGGAGGGGGGAGACATCGCCTTCATCCCCAGCCCACAGCGGCTGGAGGCCATACGGCTGAAGCAGGAGCAGAAAGCCAGGTAAAGAGAGGCAAGGGTGGGGAGGTCCATGATTCTAACATCGTCGGCTGCACTGATTGTCAAGAGAAAAGGGAGTGCTAGTTGTATTCTCGAAGGAGTGCTAGTTGTCTGTAGTGGGAGGCACCCAACATTTGTGGAGTTGATAATATGTGTCCTCCATCAACGTTTTCTGCTAACTAATCTCCATTGCAGAAGGGCACATGTTCTTATGTGCATGTTCAAATCACTCTTGTTGCAAGTAATACGGAATTGATGTTTGTACTGTGCAGTCCGGACTCTTATTCTTTAGCTCTAACTGGACCTGGGGAGGGGATACTTGGTCCAAATGGCACCTGAATCATAATGGGCTTTGTTTTTCTGTTGGATGTGTACCCCGTTCATGCCCTTGAACTTTACCTTCCTCCCGTATCATTACACTGACTGTCTCTCTTCTGCCTCAACTAGGCAATCTGGCAATCCTGCCATCAGCAACCGGCGATCGCCTCCCCCATCTCTAGGTAATCGGATTCACAGGGGTGGGTGCTTGCCACGTTTCTGTGTGTGTGTCGAGTGTGCTCCTGGATGCAGAATACAGCTTCCTGAGAATCACAGCCTTTATTAAAACAAGGAGAAGTTGCACGAGTGTGCTAGGAAGTGTGTGGATAATGCCTATTGATAGGTTAGCATGATTCCAGCCAGCAAAACAACACACACACACAAACAAACATGTACTTTGCTGGAACTACTCTACCAAAATGGAAATATTAAGAGGAAAATTGGTTGAGGAGATATGCTGTTTTCAGCTTGTTGATGTATTTTAACGATTACCTGATGTGTGTTTAAATGTTTTGTAAGACATGCCAAGCTACACCTTTTTTGGAGGGAAAAAGTGAGAGAAGCATTGTTAAACTAATAATGTACAAGAGTTGAGAGCAATTAGCCGGTAATATCCTTTGGGATCCCCAGGAGATTCCTTGTGCTCATCCCCTTAACTCTGCCCACCCCCACCAGAACTGGTATCGACATTAAGCCAAGCTAGAGTGATGCTCTGTGTTCCCCATGAGTGTCAGGCACATCAGAAATATCCAAACAAACAACAGCTGTCACTTCATACTGAGTTAAAGAGCAATATTTTGGGGAGGGAAGGAAGAGATGCCTCAACTGAAGATGTTTGGACATCTGGTTCTTGTAAAGGATTGGTACAATCTCAGCAGCTTGTCTGAAAGCATTAAGGGCTAAACGACAGGTTACATTAAATATGAAACATGACAGTTGAGTTTTCCTTTCCACTTTGTAGGTAGCTCAGCACATGGTGGCTGCTCCCTGTCTCTTGTTTTTCTAAATTCACTCCACCCCTCATGTGGGGGCTAACAAAAGAAGAGAAGCCTCCACTGGTACTGCTGTAAGCTCCTTGCCTTACTCCTTCTTAGCCCCTATGCAGGTAGTGTTGACAAAAACAGAAAAAAGAGGATGTGTGTTAAATATCCTTTACCCACATATTAAAGGATGCATTGTGGTCCTAATACTGAATTGGGGAGTGGAGGAGAAATTCAGAAGCTTATTTTTAAATACAAGAAAGAAATAAAGAGAGGTTTATCTGCCTGCAACTCATTTCAGAGTATTTCACATATGGTATTGTTTTGCTTTCTGATACTAGTGTGGTGTGAGATAAAGTTACATCGTCCCTCCCCAACCTCTGCACCCCTAATTGGAAAAAAAGGCTTAAGATAGTGAGAAAGTTGGATTTACCAACAACTGCAAAGTATTATAACTGTTGAGAAAGAAATAAACAGGTTCAGTTGTTAAAATAGGAAGATAAGTAATATTTTCCATAACACCAAAAAATCCATAGCAACGTGCAGGAGAGTTGAGTTAGAAACCTAAATTTCTTCTTTCTCCTGGAAAATCATGCAAAACAGAATCCGGGGAGAAAGACCACTTGCTAATTGCAGCTGAAGACTTTAAAAACTCAAAATCTAGCTATCGTTAATTGGAATTTGCCTACAAAATTGACATGAGAACATAATGTAACACTAGGACATCAGCTGCGGTGAAACAAAGATCAGTTCACCCTGGCTAGCAGCATGTTCTATTGTCTCCTACTAAGAAACGGTGTTGAGGAGTGTCAGAGACAGAAAAGCCAAATACATCAGACTTACATAGGATATATATTCTGTAAAAATATCTTGCTAATACTAGCCCTCCATAACACAGGACTGTTTTGTTCTTGGATTTTAGTATTTTTACAGTGTAATCCAAGATTTGAAATCATGTTGCTTAGCACAGAAAGTCACACTAGAGTAGACCCATTGCACCCATGGGGATTTGTTCCATGGGTTCAAATGGAACAAATCCCCAGTGAATCAATAGGTTCCACTGATTCAAATGGGCCTACTCCAGTTCCAGCTTACTACACTGAAGTGTGTGGCAACTAGAGAAAGGTCCATTTGGCTCAACAGAACTTAAAGATAGCTTGACTCACCAAATCGCCACTGATTCAGTGGGCCTACTCTAGTGCAAATTACTACATTAAGCAACAGGATTTCATTTCACTGTACCCGTCCACGTGTGTTAAAATAACGAATGTATGTTTAGGAGGGAAAGTGGTGCCTTTTACCTACGCCTATGGCAGCTGTAGCCTCTGAGAAATTAAACGACGTGGCTCTAGAACTGCTGTTCCTCAATCAGCTCCTCTCCCATTATTTTCTCCCACTCTATGTGTTCTTCACAAGATGCCACTTGCACTGCAAGCTATTTATCCAGATTCAGAGTTTGTGTGTGTGTGTGTGTCCACTGGGGTTGGAGTAGGGAGAAGGCTACAAATGAGTGGCGCTGGGGCCTGATTCTCACCTGACGTCTAGGCTTCATCTTGCAGTAATTTCTACATAGGTGGAAGCTGTCTTTTGCTTACTCTTTGGCAAGAGAAAATCCATCTGCAGACACTCAGAGCTACTTTTTGCCAATCCTGGAATAAAAAGGGAAATGTCTAGATACAAACCAGTAGTAAACAGCTGCTGTTATGTTACCTTCCCCACCCCCAGCATTTCAGAAACAGAATGTGCTTGAAATACTATTGCTGGCTTGGAGAATATATTATTACAGTAGGACCCCCATATCAGTGGGGGATTCATTCCAAACCCCCTGCAGATGCTGAAAACGTGGATGATGGCGAATGTTATTTTAATACTGAATGTTACACCTAGCATGGCCTCTGGCTACCTCTCATGGTCAGTTCTGGTACCTCTATATTTAGAAATATATATTTCTAGGATTTTTCTTTTATTATTTTTAGACTATGGATAAATGAATCAGCAGATACAGATCCCTCAGATATGGGGGTCCTATTTTAGTTTTAAAATTATGTGGGAATTGACAATATTGAATTTGAATTTTGCAGTGATGAAATTGACAAGACTTCAAATTGCCAGTTGTCATTAAAGATGGGAGGACTAAAATATATTTCAGGATAGGGGGCAATTGAATATGTTATGCTGAAAGGCAGAGCTACATGCATAGGTACCAGCTATTCTTATTTTGTAGGTACAGTGGTTCCTTGACTTACCAAGTTAATCCGTAACGGAATGGTGTTTGTAAATCAAAACATTCGTAAGTCAAAGCACCATTTCCCATTGAAATGCATGGGAACGGGATTAATCCGTTCCAGCATTTCAAAAAAAAACAAAACCAAAAATAAATAAAAATAAACAGAGGAAATCCCACGCTAGGACTGCAAAAAAAAACAACCCCACAAATTCAAAAACAAAACAAAACAGCACAGAAACATAACACCACCAGTCCAAACCCACCCTCCAAAGCCCACCCAGAACAGTTTTTTAAAAAGGAAAAAGTAGCATCTTACCAGTCCAAAGCCTTCTCAGCCTCCCGGGCTTCCACCACTGCTGCCATGAGGCCTCTGGGAGGCCTTCCAGACTTACACCGCCACTGCTGGGAGGCCTCCGGAACCAGCACCATTGGCTGCTTGCTGGGGCAGCCGCATTGGTCCTCGGCGCTTCTCACCACCCTCCATGAGCCGATGGCAGGAAATTCAAATGGCCTCCTGGCCAGGCTCTATTTCCCAACACTGGGTCTGTCCTCACTGCTTGCTTCCCAGCCAGGCTGTGCCTCCCGGAGTCTGGCTGGGAAGCAAGCAGTGGAGACGGACCCAGTGCCAGGAGGCAGAAACCGGCTGGGAGGCCATTTGAATTTCCTGGGCTCCTGCCTCCCAGCTCTGGGTTCATCCCCGCTGCTGCCGCATCCCTTTCCCGAACCATTGGGGCGAAAGAGCTACAAAGAAGCAGCCTCTTTGCCACCAACGGTTAGTATACAGTATTTGAATTTCCCGCCCCTTTCCGTTCATAAGTCAAATCTCCATTTGCAAGCCAAAGCAATTTTTTTTGCGAATGGAGCTGTTTGTAAGTCAAAATGTTCGTAGGTCAAGGCACCACTGTGTGTTCTTCCAGACCTAATACAATAAGAGCAGTCTAGTCAGTATGTGCCAGGAGGGACTGTGCTACATTACATAGGAAGGTGAGAAAAAAGAGAGAGGGAGAGAATCACTCACAACAATGTTTTCTCTCTGTGTTTCCTGATATTGTTGATTGAATAAATAACCACAATTGGGGGGAAACACGCAGATAACAGCATTTTGAGGTTAAAATAGAATTCGTATTAAGACACAAGTTCACATATTGTGTCAGTAATGGCAAGAAAAGGTCATGACAGAATCACCCTTAAAAGGCAGAGGAGCAGCTGAATAAGATCGCAAGTAGGCCTGGAACTGCTGCTTTTACTGTCCTGCATAGGGAGCTTGTGGCTTTTCCCTATAAGTAGCCCAATCAGAATAATAAATGTGCAAATAAGAAAAAAAAATCTTACGGCATCTTGAAGACTAACAAGTTTCACTTGGGAGTCTCAAAGTCAGTGGCGGTCCATGGACGTTACGAGTCTTTAAAGGGGCCACAAGACCATTATTCTAAGTGCAGCATGCCTAACATGGCTACTTGCCTAGAAAGCTATTGAAGACAGTCACTGTTTTAGAAATATGCTATGCAGAGTAAGAGAAATTGTTCACGTTTTATCACATGACTATGATTTTCTTGACATAACATTCAGACTTTGGGATGGGGGAATAGAACTTTTAGCACAGCATATATGGAATCGTGAGCAATGGCTCCTTGTCTGCTACGAGCTGTGATTTCGGCTTTGATGCTGCGAGAGAACCCAGATGAGATTTAATCCCAAATCCTGTCACATCTGGCAAATGCGGCAGACACAAGGATTGACGAAGCTTGAGAAGAGGCTAGAATCAGAATCCTCTAGACTCTTGGTCCTTTTGCAGTTCCAAGGGGTCACCACTCGCATTTTACAGCATCTTAGTTCTTTCTGGATCTTGTCATTTACTGATTCTTGACTGTTGACCACCTCATGTTTTCTTTCTTTTTCAACAAGCGAAACAGAAGCAAAAGCAGGTAAGGGCTTGATGCTGGGATTAAATTCTCCTGCCCTGTGGCCCTGGGGTTTTTCTGTTGGTTTTTTTTTTCTGTCGAGCGAAGAGTCTTTAATTTTGAACAAAATGGCTTTGTTGTGGAGATTTATCTCAAATGAAGTTGCCTTGGGTCAGAACAGCTGCTGTCATGGGTGGGTAGGTTTCTTTTAGCCAGGACCTTAGAAAGGTGCAGGGGAACAGAGAGATTTTCATTTTACAGAGAGATTGAAGCCTAGTTCTGCATCACTAGCAAAGTGAGAGAGATTTGGTGGGGCAAGGCCAGAATCTTGATGTTTGGACCTGGGCAGTTGTGTGGAATGGGGTGGTGGTCATGGCTGAGGCTTCATGCCCCAGCTTTGTCACTGTTTCATCCCTTTGCATCTACCTTTTTTTTTGGGGGGGGGATGCATAGTAGAGCAAGAGCTATTTAGAGCGACACGCCTCCTGTTGTTGTTTTTTGTTTTTGTCAGACAGAGCACATTCCCCCATATGATGTCGTGCCCTCCATGCGGCCAGTGGTGCTGGTGGGTCCTTCACTCAAGGGATATGAGGTAGGGAGATGTGGACTGGATGAAATTCTGTGGTCAACCCCACGCTCCCGCATATGCTAGTGTTGTCCCTAGCAGGCAATGAACCCTGCACTTCTACCTTCTTTTCCTTCCTTCCAGGTGACAGACATGATGCAGAAAGCTCTCTTTGATTTCCTGAAGCACAGATTTGATGGCAGGTGAGATGCTCTCCTTCTGAAATGAAGAGGGCTTTCCCCCCTCCCCCTTCCCAGGTTCAAGGGGCTGTGGGTCATGCGCTTGGGGCCTGCCCTCCTGTTTTTCAGAATCTCCATCACCCGTGTCACAGCTGACCTGTCACTGGCCAAGCGCTCCGTGCTCAACAACCCAGGCAAACGTGCCATCATCGAGCGATCCACGACCCGGATTAACATTGGTGAGTCAAGCGCCTGAAGAGGGATGGGAGCTGGCAGACCAACAGATGGTGTGGCGTTTGCCCTCTCATTTCTCTGTTGGCCTTCCCAGCATGAAAGTCCAGGTCCTCTGGCAAGGGGACTCCAGAGCAAATGGCAGACCGTCCAGCCACTCACTTTGCAGTGCCATAAAATGAGAAAGACGTGAAAAGAGGCTGCTTATTGGGACAGAGTATTTTGATTATGGGTTGCATTATTATCTGGTAACATTATTTTATTTCACTTGTTCAGTGTGGAGCTGGATAATAGAAGCCAGTGATCATCATCACAAGCTCTTAGTAACTGCTACTAAGATCCTGTCAAATAGAAAACACACAAACACTTGCATTGTGTTTTTTTCTGATTACTTTACTCTTGTTCATTCTTTTGACCATGTTTATTATAGTCCTTTGTGTGTGTCTCTTCTTCTCTTCTTCTCTCTTCTGCACACAGAGAGTGAGAGAGAGACACACACAAGCAAACACATTTGAAGCAGAAATATGAACAAAATGTGTGTTGGACTCAGTGTTTTGTCTCCCTAGATATTCCTTTAGACCCTGTTCCCCCTCCAAGCAGAATTAGTAATATTCTTTGACAACTAGGCACTGTTCCCTTTTCAGTGGTTTACAGTGCCTTGCTTTGAATCTTTGAGGGTCCTGAGCATGTGATCTCTAAAAACATACAGATTCCGATTTAGAGGCCCCAAAAGCAGTCTGTGGAAACTCAACAGCAGCACTGAACTCTCTTTTGGGGATTGCTGTGGCAGTGCCACCACCGTGTTAAAATATCTTGGGCAAAGATTTTATGTGTTCCCTTTTGGGCACCAGTCTTACAGGTGATCTGCTGCTCCCACATGGCCTTTCTCTTTTTTGGCACCAGTGTTCCCTATTTGTTTGGAGTAATAAATACCATACAGTATTCTGTTTTACTGAGAAAAAGGCATAAAAGGGAGGTTTTGTCTTTGGTTTGGAATCAGAAAATAATTGATTATGTTGGAGTGAGATTGTTCCTTTAAAGAAGTGGCATTGATAAGGATGAGAGCCAGCATCTCAGCATGTCAGATTAGGACCCAAGAAACCCTGTTCAGCCGTGGAAGCTCACTGTGGACTGGTAATTAGTAAACCACTCCTTAAACATCTCATGAACCTTGAAACCTCTATTGGGGATGCCATATATTGGAAGTGATTTGACAGCATGTAACAACAAGAACACGGCCAAGGATGACTAATGCCAGGGGAAAAGCTAAGCAGGCATGTTTAGAAGAAGAGAATAGGAACAAAATCAACACCACCACTAAGTGATTTCTCTCTGCTTGAAGTGCTCCAACTGAAACCACTGGTTTAAACATGGGGACCTTCCTCCTTTAGCTGGAATCCAGCAATTCAACCAAGAACTCATTTATTAGCGGCAATTTGCTAGTGCATGTTAATAACATGGCCCTTTTGCCATCATAACTATGCAGTAAGACTTTAGCCACAGTTTTCCTGGTTATTTGTTATTTTTAAGGGTATTTCTGGGGAACGTGGTGGTGCTGCGGGCTAAACTGCAGAAGCCTGTGTTGCAGGGTCAGAAAACCAAGCAGTCATAAGATCGAATCCACACGACGGAGTGAGCGCCCGTCGCTTGTCCCAGCTCCCGCCAACCTAGCGGTTCGAAAGCATGCAAATGCGAGTAGATAAATAGGGACCACCTCGGTGGGAAGGTAACAGCGTTCCGTGTCTAAGTCGCACTGGCCATGTGACCACGGAAGATTGTCTTTGGACAAAACGCTGGCTCTATGGCTTGGAAACGGGTATGAGCACCGCCCCCTAGAGTCGAACACGACTGGGCAAAAATTGTCAAGGGGAACCTTTATCTAAGGGTATTTCTAAAGGCATTTTGAGCAGAGTTTTCAAGTGGTATGTCATTCTCTAATGAATTTGTACCGTCACAGGAAAATATGAATTAACAAGCAGAATGACAAATGAAACCATTAACATTACCCAAAAAAGGGAAGATCAGTTTAATAATTATATTTTTGTGCTTTGTAGTGAGTTATACAAAAAGAAGAAGAAAGCTTCAACTTCTAAATAGGTTTGGCAACATTTGTTTAAATGCAAAACCTGTTCGTCTGACTGTGACAGTGAAACAAAACAAACCTATGTTATACTACAGGGAACAATGTCTCTCTCAAAAACCTCTTTAAAATTTGCTTTTCTCTCATTTTAGAGAGATGAGAAACAAAGTAATCAGCTGGAAAAATACCTTATGCTTTTTCCGGTACACTTAATTCTGGCTGATGGCCTCAAAAGTTTCCCTTTGCTCAGTTCCTGGCTATTACCCATCTTTAGCAAATTTTCTGCTTCTCTCCAGACTCATTTTCACTTCCCTTATTATCATTATTATCCTTTTTTGCCCAATTTCATTTACGGTAACTTATTTCATATCTGAAGCATTTCCGCCTTGCTTGTGAGCTGAAACATCTTTGAGAGTGGCTTAGGCACCTTAATAATAATAAAATAGTCTTTGGCTTCAGACACAATCTAAAACAGACTAATGTCAGACAACAGAAAAGGACTAGAGGACCAAATATATATATATGGTCCTCCAGTCTTTTTTGGTTGTCTGATGTCAGTCTGTTTTAGACTGTGTGTTTGAAGCCAAAGACTATTTTATTATTATACAGTATATAATCTCAGACGGGGGCATTATTTTAGATACAAATTTCTGTCAATAAACTGGTGGGCAAATTCAGGGCAAAGAAGAGCCAAAAACCCACTGGTTCCTCACTTGAGCTAATAGAGGAGGAACCTTGCTCCCTTTCACTCCCTTGGCTGCCATTTTATGTGGAAGGGCAGCTACCGGGTGACTGTGGAGGGAAAAGAGAAGCCTCATGGAGCCGCCACCCCGGCAGAATCCTTGTCCTTTGTGCTTCCCTCTTGAAATGTTAACCGTGCTGATTGTGACTGTGAAGATAGGCAGGAACACTTCTCCAGCCTGCAACAAAAAATGTGCTTTGATGAAACACAGCGAGGAGCAGTTGGGGTGAGAGGCAAGTGTATGGGATGTGAATGGCTGAGGGTTGTCCAACTGATGGAGCTCCCTCTTCCTTTTGCAGCTGAAGTCCAGAGTGAGATTGAGCGGATCTTCGAACTTGCCAAGTCACTGCAGTTGGTGGTGCTGGATGCGGACACCATCAACCACCCGGCCCAGCTGGCCAAAACCTCCCTGGCTCCCATTATTGTCTACGTCAAGGTATCCTCCCCAAAGGTGAGTAGGGAGGAAAGGAGTGACTTACTTATTTTATCTATGTAAAACATTTTTACCCCTTAAAAAGGATCCAAGGTGCCTTTCGTAATTCAAATACAATATTTAAAGTGAGAAACTATTTATGCAAATACTAAAAAGGATCAAACAAATACAGTACCACCCTCAGAAATGGTAAACAAAATCAATACTAAAAACACATATAAAGCAGCAAGGCACAACCATCTGTTTAAAGATCCTGCTCAGGCAGCCAGTCGCTGAAGAGAGAGGCCTTTGCCTGCTTGTGAAAGGACAGCAAAGATGGGGCCAGCCTGGCCTCTTGTGGGAGGGAGTTCCAAAGTCTGGGAGCAACAACAGAGAAGGCCTTCTCCCATGTCCAGGTAGAGGCATTTCCAGCACCTGGAAGAGTTGTTTTTGGGGTGCATGTACATGCCTATCCTGTCATTTAAAGCATAGCCATTTCTCGATGCCTGCTTCCCCTGAGGTGTTTCCCACTGCCTCAGGTGTTGTACTGGGGGACTGGTTTCTTCCAACCAGGCTGCCCCTCATGATGTTAGCTGTGCTGGCTTTTGCTTAGATTTTATAATCCCATTTCACTTTTTCCCCCTGAAGAGAAATGCTAAATAACATTTAAAGAGAAAAGCTAAATAACAAAAAGGTTATTAAAAACATAAGAAACTACTAAGCCACAAAGTTTGCAATCTCAACTCAGTGTTTGTTCTAGATCTCTTTCTCTTCCCAAATCACTAGTTTCCTCCTTTTTCTTTAAATGCACACAGCTGAGTTTGGATTTTATCTGCACCTCCTGTTTTCTTTCTGCTTCAATGTGCTGTGTAGTGAATAACTGTTTTGTGCAGGATACAACGGTGAGCAAACCAGCAGGTGAAAAGGGAGGAGGGAAATTGCAACAGCAATTTGCTGTTGATCTAAAACAGAGTGTGTTTCAAATCACGTTTTGAAACTTTGAGAGCGCAGGATCTGATTTGCTCTGTTTTCTGGTGCCCAGATGTCATATTACAGACGGTGGACCAGCCTGACCCCATGCTCAGTGTTCTGTCTGGACCCTTTTGGAGCTGTCTGGTGCAATTGGGGCCAGATTTGATGGCCCCTTCTGACTCAGTTATTCCATGATTGTAAGACAGAATCATTGTCGCAAAGGGTTCCTTTTGAGATTACATCCTGGAAGTGACCCTTCCTGGCACCATCAAGTGTGACTGACCTTTATGCTCTCATCTGATTGCACCCTCAGTGATGAAATTAAAGATAACAAAGGGGGAAATGGCTTACTTCTTTCACCAGTGCATGCTCTCATTTCCCCCTCCAATATAGGGGTTGATCTTGACCAAGAATCCATCTAGGCCAAACTTAGTGACAGAAATCCTACTGTGCATTGCCATATGCACAACATGAAATTATGGCAATGTTAGAGGAAAGTGTGGCAAGGGGTAACTGCTATTGAGAAATTGCCTCTGCAGGCATACAGTGAAACGGGAGTGAAACGGGAACCATATAGTTGACTGCGGACGTGTGGAATCTGGACTACATAGTTATAAAATCTGGCATGTTTATGCTGATGTAACAAAGATGAGCAGGATTTCAACTGCTGTCAATGGGGTTGAAGTATGCGTTGTGTGGGAGACCTCTAACTGGATTTCTTGCTGCTTTCTCTTCTGACAAAATGCTGCAGATGGGTGGCAGTGGCAGGGGTTTCCTCTCATCAGAAAAGAAAACATGAGGCAGGTTGTCTAGGGTTACCTTTTTAAAGGTGCCAGCAGCTGTTTGGCTGAAATGTATGAGAAGATGATCATGTGGCTGCCCCTATGTGCTGAAACTCTCTCCCCGAGTCCATGTGTGGGGATATAGGAAGAGAGATAAGGTGAAACTTTTCCAAGTGTTTTTCAAAAAATTGTATTATATTTTTTAAATCTGTGTTTTCAACACATACAGGAAGGTGTTGTGGTGTTTTGCTTTTTTTCAGTTTTAGATTCTTATGTTAATGCATTTCAGTGTTTTGTTTAATACTGATGTATACTGTTCTGGGTTTTCTCAGACAGCAGAATGGCATATGAAAGGAAATAATAACTCAATCTTCAACAATATAGTAAGAGATACCGGCTTCAGCCTTTGCCAACCCAAGGGTGCTCTGACAGCTTCCTCTCTTCCTGCTGTCTTTGAAGCCAGTGTCTTTTTTTTTACAGCCATGGGGATCAATGGGGCTTCATGGGTATTAGAAATTGTAAGGGATAAATTGTAAAGAAGAAATTCTAAGGGATGAGACTCAGAGAAGTGACTTGCCTGAGGCCACCTAACAACCTTCTAGCAAGCAGGTGTCAGACTTGCTGGTCTACCAGCCCCTCTCTTACCATTTCCGATTCTAATGCACTGGTTCCTAAGTCTAGGTTGCCAGATGTGTTTGGACTACAACTGCCAGAATCCCAGATTGCTGCCCAGGCCAGTTGGGGCTTCTGGAGACTGAAGCCTGACAACACCAAAGGAGCCGACATTCAGGAATTACTAGTCTCGAGGTTCACTTGGGCATCTTCCAATTCTGTGTCTTCCTTTCTTGGTGGAAGGTGCTGCAGCGGCTTATCAAGTCCAGAGGGAAGTCGCAGGTGAAGCATCTCAATGTCCAGATGATGGCAGCTGACAAGCTTGTGCAGTGTCCTCCGGTGAGTTTCTGAGAGGGCTCCTGTTCTCTTCTGTGCCACCCCCGCCCCATTCCATCTCATCCCACCTGTGTCCTAGTTTCTTGAGCCTTGCTCCCATCTGCTCTTCACTGGCCTGACCTCGCCTCCTTTTCCTTCAGAATGACTAGTTCTAGCATCCTTCTTGTACCACCTGGGGGTTGCCTGAGGAGCCAAAAGCGTTAGCATTAGCGTCAGTAGGGCAGTGCTATTATACAATAAATGTGTGTTTGAGGATGTAAAGAATGACATCCCCACATATCTAAAAGCAAAAAGCAAACAGGGCCTGCTGACTCAGAATGAAGGAGCAATTTTGCAAGAATAAATGGAGGAGGTTCATATGTAAGGCTGTGTTCTAGCATTTTCTCATAGAAATTAAGTACCGTTCTTACTCATTTATTAAATGTTCCAAGAATGCATAAAAATGTTCCTGCATTTTTAAAAAAGGCTTTAAAATGTTTTAGCCTATGGTGCTAGCTTTTTGCTAAAATTACACCACTGTCTTTCATCTGAAAAGATTAACCACTTAACATCCTAACCTTTCTATTATGTTGTGTCCCATGGTTCTGTCTATTAAAGTCACTGTTCTAAGAGTTAGGCTACAGCTCTCATCTAAAGGTGTGCAAAACTGTGTTCTTGGACTACAACTCCCACAGTGCCCCAGGCGGCATAGTCATAGTCCAGAAACACAAATCTCTGACCCCTCTACTGCCACATTTCCCAGTCAATAGTGCAACTGATTGGGAAGGCCACAGCTTGGGGAAGGCGGGACTATTGTGTCATGAAATCACTGGGGTGTTTTTTTTTCCTCCCCTCTTCCCTCTCAACACTGTGACTTTGCTGCCCTGCACCATCTCTGCAAGGAACTCTTTGATGTGATCCTGGATGAGAACCAGCTGGAGGATGCCTGTGAACACCTGGCTGAGTATCTGGAAGTATACTGGCGAGCAACTCATCATCCTTCACACACTCCCAGTGGCCAGAACCTCATGACACCTTCCACTGCCATTCCAGGCCTGCAGGTACGTTGAAGAACATAAGAACGGTTCTGTTGTATGAGGCAGAAAGGCCACCCAGCTCAGGATCCTGCCCCTACCCCTGCCCCTAAGACCACCAGATATTTCTGGAAAGCTCACAAGTGCTTCATGGAGGAGGCTGTAGCAAATATCCTCTGATTCTAGCATTTAGGACGTGACTGTACACTGCCAGAAAACCTTTCTGACATATACCAAACCTTTCTTCCTATATGGTGGCACAAAAGGGGAATGTATGACCCCCCCCCAGATACAGTGGTTCCCAACATTGAGTCCCCAGATGTTCTTGGGCTCCAACTCTCAGGAACCCTGGCCAGCAAGGCTAAGGGTGAAGGGTTCTGCGAGTCTGTGTCCGACTCTAGGGTGCGGTGCTCATCCCCGTCTCCAAGCCATAGAGCCAGCATTTGTCCGTAGATAGTTTCTGTGGTCACGTGGCCAGCGCGACTAGACACGAAACACCGTTACCTTCCCACCGAGGTGGTTCCTATTTATCTACTCACATTTTTACATGCTTTCGAACTGCTAGATTGGCAGGAGCTGGGACAAGCGACGGGAGCTCACTCTGTCGCGTGGATTCGATCTTACAACTGCTTGGTCTTCTGACCTTGCAGCACAGAGGCTTCTACGGTTTAACCTGCAGTGCCAATATTTCTTAAGGACTGTTCAAATCAGTTCTATGAGGAAGAACATGGTTACTCACAAGTCATCCTCCTATATGCTGGGAGTTTATATCCATATTGATCCATGTGAACAGGAATGCAGCCGTAGCTACGGCTTGCCATTTCAATAGAACTTATGTGCTTAAACGGCCTGTAAGTGGGTCATCGGCTCTGCTTATAACTCTGCAGACAGGTTTCTGCTAGGATATGCTACGCCCACTAGAGGATGTTGTATATACCCTGAGGCCTTTTTCAGACCGCCTCCTTGTTTTTCCTCTGCAGAACCAGGCCCCGTCGGGCGAGCAGGGCACTGAGCGCTCCCCAGTGGAGCATGACAGCTTGATGCAGTCGGATGAAACGAGCGACGCCTCCCGCAAGACATGGACGGCATCCTCTCAGCGCAGCTCTCGGCACCTGGAGGACGAGTATTCCGATGCCTACACTGACCTGTACCAGCCTCACCGCAACCACAACAGTGGCCTCCACAGCACCAATGGCCACGACTCCCAGGACCGCCTCCTTGAGCGAGAATCTGAGCACAACCACAATGAGAGGAACTGGCAGCGCAACCGGCCCTGGGCCAAAGACAGCTATTGAGACCCTCTCCCTGGCCTGGCCTCTACCCCCTCCTCACTCCTGGGCCGCCACGCCGCCGGGGACACAAAGCTGCTGCTCCCGCTGCCGCCGCTGCCACCGCCACCGCCCTCGGACCGAGTCGATTGCCTGCTCTCTAGCCTTCCTCTCGTCCCTTACCTAGTGGAGCCCCAGAGTAGACAGGCCCTGCCCTGGTATACAGGTGCTATCTCTATGGAACCCCAGCCACAGCCACAGCTGCCTGATTCCTTTGTACAGGAAGGGTGGGTTCTTGTACCTATTCTTTGCTTTGAAGGCATTGAGGATGGGGTTTTTTTTTGGCAGGGTAAATTCCATTGGCAGCCTAGCATCCCCATCCTGTTGCTGGTGGTGGGGAAGAGGAATCAAGCTTCTCCATCTGTGGAAGGGATGCGGCTTCTCTTACAAGGGGAGCGGCAGTTCTTTCTCTGATTCCAAGAGAAAAGGTCGGCGTTAGGAGGGCAAAACCAGGAACGCCTCTGCCTCTGTTCTCTTCGTGCAGCCTTCCTGAGCCCAGCATCCTCCAGGTGTGTTGAACTGCAACTCCCATCCACCCCCCGTCCACAGTCCAGCACATTTGGAGGGATGCCCGCTTGGGAAAGGGTTGGTCTGGTTCTCCAAGCAGGAAGTTTTAAGCCAGGACGTTGTTCCTTTGCCTTTGCCACGGGACTTGGTTCCAGCCCATTGCTTTGCCGCCAGGCCAGGCCAGAAGTTCCGTGGTTGGTGGGAAAAAACAACAACCACCAAGACTTGCTCGTCAGTGCGTGAGAAGGGCTGTGCTCTGTGAGTCCATTCACAGGTACTCCTGAGGCAGGTTGTAGTCATTGCAGGTGAACCGTGGGGGCACTGGCCACCATTTTTGTGCATGTGCTTGATGTTTTTTTGTGCAAGTGCTTGCTTTCAAACACTTTTTTTTTAAAGATCGCAAGCAGCCGATGATGTTGAACCATCCTTGAGCTGTACTAGTTCAGGTCTGAAGGAGTGGGTGCTGAGTTGACTACCCTGCACGCAGAAGAACCATGTATGAGGGAGAAGGGCTACAGTAAACAGACATTTGGTTGTCTGTTTGCAGGGGAAATTCTCTGTCTATTTGAAGGAACACTTTCCTACCTGTAACCTGAACGGCTACAACCCAGAAACAGGCCAGTCCATCACCTTTTGCTGCTGTTTGTTAATGAACATACAAAGCATGAGCCAAGCAATGAGTAGCAAGACAGCTGCAGCTCATCCTTTTTTTCCCCCTGTGGAGTGTTAGTGCAACTGCCCCTAACAGTTACCTGCCCTAAAGAGATCACCCTACAGAGGTTTTTCTACTTGAAGAGGTACATATATTTTGTATATAACAGCTCACAGAGATTCAGCCTGTATTGGGAAGCTTCAGAGCCTGTGAAGGTGATGATGCTACCTTGTGCAAAGCTATGCTCTGATGGAACATCAGGTCCCACCGTAACTTTCTCCTCCCGCCCCATCGTCTCTTGTTTGTCTTCCATGAACTGGAAGGCACGACCAATTCTTAGGACGCTGAGAGGCAAATGACCTGCTACACACAAAACAATGCCTTTAGCCTTTAAAAACATTCTTTTAATCAAACACTGATTTGGAAGTTGATTTGGGATAAGAAGCAGCTATTATTTTGAACAGATCATTTCCAAACTGCATCTATTCGAAATAAATCCTTGCAGCACTCATTTGCCCAGTGAATTCCAGATCCACAGGTACATCGTAGGTGGGGCAAGAGTGATTTTTTTTTAATTTGAGTACCAGAATTGCTGGTGGGAAAAGGATTCAGAAGCCTCTCATGCTGTTCCTGCTCTCAGTGTCTCAGAACCCTGAAGCAGGGGAGGGTAAGCCCCTACTTTCCTCCTAACCAGTTGTCACCTCCTGAGGGCTACAGTCTGATGCTTAGCCTGGATATGACCCTTCCCTTCCTCATACGGACTCTTCTCTTTCTCTGCACAGACCCACCTCTTGTTAGGAACCTGATATTCGTAAAGCCACAATATGTGAACTTTTCTTTTTGATTCACCATCGTCCTTGGACTTTTCTGCAAATTGCATGGGGCCTTGATCTTCCTTATTGGGGCGAGTGTACTGGAGATGTTGGATGCATGCCAGTTTTGCTACTGGGCAATGCTTTCTACCTGTGTTACCTGTAGATTCTGTCTTCAGGAGTGAGGAAGCACGGGGCTATGTCCTCCCCTCTTGCTTACCGTCAAATGCACAACCCCTTCCACCCCTAGATGGCCAGTTTGCTCTTCCATGCCTCCCCCAGGCACCTTGAATATTTCACTGGGCAAGTGGATGGCAGCCCCCCCGCCCTTAAAAAGCACGTACGCCTATCAAAAATCAGCCTGTACATATCGCGCAATAACATCACGAGTTGTTTGAGCATTAAGTCCTACGCCCTGGACTACTCAGAGCTAGGAAGGAAGTTTATTTTTCCTGGCTTAGATCATTTCAAGGGCAGGGAAACCTGGGTTCTGCCCCTGCGGTCCCCATCCTGTGGGCTGCCGTGGCAACAGCTTTGTTACTGTTCTTTTGTAGAGAGCACTTCTTCCCCCCCCCCAACAACTTGTAAGTGGTTTGAAAGAACAAGCGTTTGCTGTTTGTAGAACATGTCTGGTCTTGTCTTTATTGGGAGGAGGACGGCTGGGAGTGGGAGGGAGCTCTGGCTGAAGCTTTGAGAATCACCTGGACAGAAATCAACAGTTTTGGGGGGCTTATACACATACCCCCATGTCACCACAAAGGCAGTGTGCTTATAAGACAGAGCTGGGGAAATCTTTCTCAGACGACACCACCCACAAGCTACCATATTTTTCCGTGTATGAACCAACACTTTTTCCTAAAATAGTTAAGAGGAAAAATTTAGGGTTGTTTTATACACAGAAGTAAGGGGGGGGAGGCTTCGATCCCTGCTTTCCCCCTCCACTTTTTGCAAAGAAAGTGGTTTGGGAAAGCAGCTTTTTACAAAGGAAGTGGATGGGGAAAGCACTTTCTTCGCAAGAAAGTGGAGGGGGAAAGTGATTCCTTCTTTCCCCCTCCATTTTCTTGAAAGTGCTTTCCCCATCTTTGTAAAAAGCTGTTTTCCGCCTCCACTTTTTGCGAGGGGGAAAGCAGCTTTTTGCAAAGAAAGACACTTTGAGTTAGAAAATTGGAGGTTGTCTTATACATGGAAAACTATGGTAACTGGGAGATTTCTTGCAGTTCCACATCCGAAGAAATAGTACAGTGGGGTCTTGACTTAAGAACGGCTTGAGTTAAGAACATTTTGACTTAAGAACCACTCTCATAGGAAAATATTGACTTGACTTACATACTTAGATTTGAGTTAAGAACTGAAAAAAACCCACGTGGGAGGCAGGGAAAGTGCAAAATTTGAACTTTCAGTTAACTGTTGGCCAGTGAAAAGGGTGCCTGTCTGCTTCCTCACTCCTCCCAGCGTTTAGAGAGTGGATTGGCAGACAGTCTTCGGACTGCCTGGTACTGTCCTGCCTGGACTGTATTTTCCCTGCCTTCCCTGAACCTTTCTTGACCTAAGAAAAAAAGAAACAAAATGTCCCCCTCTAGTGGTCGAAGGCAGAATAGCAGCTTCCCATTAGTTTCTATGGACGGAAAAGAGCCGATACGGATCAAATGGTTTTCAATGCATTCCTATGGGAAATGCAGATTTGACCTGAGGATTTTTTGACTTGAGAACCGCCTTCCAATACGGATTAAGTTCTCAAGTCAAGACCCCACTGTAGTTCCACACTCCAGATGTAAGGCCAGCCATGGCTTGAAGAAGGGTTCGTGGCCAGGGACGGTAAGGCTGACAGCCAACATGGTGTGTATTCTGTTTGACACTGGAAAGCATTGTGTACACACACTAAGGCAGCCTTTAACAAGCTTCACAGCATTTCCTCTGCCTTGGAATAGACATTCTCTGAGGCCTAGCGTTGGCTCTTGCATCACACCAAACCACTTTTCCAAGAAGTCTTTCATGAGTTTTCAGCTTCATTTTATGAAAAGGCCCCAAACGTCTTAAAGTGTTGTAGCTGGACGTAAGGCAGCTTCCCTACCACATTACACAAGCAATCTCATGGATAAGTAAGGGAAGTGATTAATGGCTAACATGTGACTGTGATCTCATTCATCACACAGTTCTGCCATAGCTTGTAAGTTGGATGCTACATTGAACACATGCTTACTCAACAGTACATTTAATGTTCTTTCCTGGTTCCCCTAGAATGAAGGGACCTCTGTGGTCCACTAGGATACTTTTGACTAAAACCCTTCCCAGTACTCAATGGGAGAGCCTCTTTCAATATTTCAGCTTCCAGACTGTGCTTTAGGGCAACATATTCTAGGAATCTAATCTGTACAGTTAAGGGATGTTGCAGAAGTACAGTTGTTGGAGTCCAAACCATAAGGTCAGCTCAGGAAACAGTCTGTTCACTCATTCCCCTCAAATATATTGGGTGCAATTCTGCTGAAGTCAATGGGAGAGAAGCTTTGAATTATGGCTTACTGGCAGCTTACGACAGTAAATGTTCTTACCTCTGCAGTGTACCACTTTCTAATGAAACTCTAAATTCACTGTAAGAAAATCCATATTCTTAGCCCCGGGCACTTATATTTACATTCTAGTTGCAGCGGTTTTCTACTAAGCAGTTCAGGATTGATCCTACACAACTGAAGGGGCCAGCAACCCAAAGGCAAAATGCTGCAAGCACAGAGTGGGAATAAGATACTGAATTAAACCAATGGCACTCCTTCCAAAACAATGTCACACCAGGTTGCAATGACAACAGTGGACTATACTCCACTTGGACAATCTATACTGTATTGGGATGTAGCTACTCATGAACACAGTATGAGTACACACACAGGATGTGTGTGCTTGCACATGCATGAGAATTGCCATTTTTCTAATACAAGAAAGGCCCTCCTTCTCCAGCTCTTACGTCAATGGTTTTGCTGTGGCCCTGAAAACTGATGTCAGATACCACTGTTTTGTCCTTGGGCTACTTATGCTCCAGGGAGCACTCTTGAGAAAGGCAGCAATTTTTCCAAGGCCAGAACTGAACCATATTCTCAACTAAAGAAGAGGCTATATAGCAGCTTTTGCAATGGTGAAACTGACACAGACGAAATAATGGTTTAAGAATGGGCATGGCTACATTGACAAATAGCAGAAGAAATGCTTGGGGACTGGCAGTCCAATTTGGATAATTTTCCATTGACTAAATGACATGCAAATCAGCTCAAGAGTTGCCCTCTCTAATCCATGCTTCCTTCGTCCACCACTGGGATTCTACTTTTTTGGAATCGGCTGCATTTATATCAGTTAAATGGTGCAATCATTTGAGTGGATGTGGAGGGCTTTGTAGCTGTTGCATTTAAAGCTATTCCATGCTCTAACAGTGCCTCCTGAACAGCTGGACAGCCAGAGCAGAGCAATCTTAAAACTTGCGCCTCCCTCTCTGCTGATTCCTCATTTTTCCCCATCTTTGGTCACATAGCTCCTGTCCTAGCATCAGGAAAGTAAGCCTTTAAAAGAAAAAAAGAAGGAAAGAGATAGGAAAGACAGAAACAACCAGATCCAGACACCAGAAGCAGGGAGGATTCAAATGTTAAAAGCTCCAAAATATAATCTTGCTTCTAGCTGGTGCTCCCATAAATGTCCCATTTCAAGACTTCTACTTCACTGAAAAGACACACCAGCAGTTACACATCATGGTAGATGAATATCAATTCTATACAAAGAATGCTCTCTCAACTCAAGGACTACTTTTGCTCATGAGAAACCATGAGTCAAGAAAAACAGGCAGATACCAGCAATATTTCACACAGATTTATAATAGGACACCAAAAAATCACTGAAAAAATAGCAGTTTTTCTGTACATCACCTGCCCCTTTCTGCAGACTGTAAGGAGCAGTGCCCTCCTCTGGATAAAACAAGTATTCTTTAGTGATCACCCCACCCTTTCTCATGAAATTATCACACTGAAACAATAGTCTGAGCTTCAAAATGATGCGAGGTCCTTCTTGGAGGAGGACAAAAGAATTACCGCATTCCAGCTGCTGTGCCCCCAACTTGCATTTCTTCTTTCACAGGACCAAGCCCTAGAGTTTTGCCTGATCATGGAGCAGTGAATGAGGGAACGTGTTACAAACGACGTTTAGGCCCTGGGACTTAACACACACACCCCTCCGAGTGCGATAGACTCCTGGCCATAGCTCAGTTAAGCCAAGCAGACAAAGTTTTCCCAGATGGCAGATAAACACTGGCTCCAACAAGAATGAAGCTAATCAGTCTAGATCAGGATTCCCAAGGTGACATTCTAGCCTCTTTGGAATGACATTCACCTTGTTTGGTCCTAAATTTGTGAAGTGTCACATCAGTAACATGTAGGGGTGTCACCTACGTTTGAAAAAAAAAGAAAAGCCAATGCCTTGTTAAGGACGAAGTGCCAGGGACTGGCAGAGCGGTTTCACAACATGGGATCCTTGCTTTTTCAGTCTTGCCCAGGTTCCAGGCAGCAAGGAGGCTGTCTCACAGCTCTTTGATGAACTGCTCCTCTAGTGGAGCTCAAGCAAAGATAGTCTCCTCTCGCCGCTTCTTCGTAAGGATGGTTCCTGGCTTGTGCTGGGCATCTGGATGGTTTGCCAGTTCTGGGGGGCATGAAGACACCGGACTCTCGAGGATAGCTTGCTTAAGGTCATAGAAGACGGCAGAGTCCTCCTTGGTGACAAAGGAAATGGCCACACCGCTCTTGCCAGCTCGTCCCGTTCGACCAATGCGGTGGATATAATCTACAACAAGAAGGAAGGAAGTGGTGAAGGCACTGCTCCTTCTGAAGTGGGATACAGCAGCCAAATGAAGGGCAGGATCTGGCCAACGCTTATCAGTTACAGGGAAAGAGGGGATGCAATTAACAAGAAAACATTTGTGGATACAGCAGCCAAATGAAGGGCAGGATCCGGCCAATGCTTACAGAGAAAGAGGGGATGCAATTAACAAAACATTTGCACAATCCAATAAAGTAATTGTTACTTCCACAATTACATTGAGCTGAAAGATAATGGCTAGCTCAACAGCACCTACCACGTTCTCAACCATGTGCTTTGCCACTGCAGATCACTTAACTCTCAGTCATAGAAAGCTGAAGAAACAGATCTCCATGGGATTTAAGGTGGACAACTGCAGTTGCAGAGGCTTATTCTGCGTACCACTCTGACAAGCACACAACCCCCACCCTGCCAGTCTAGCATCACTTCAGCCTAGTCATGATCTGTGGCAGGAAGTGACAAAGCCATTGTCTAACCTCATGGATGATTACACTGAAAGAATTGGGAGGGTGTGTGTATGCTCAGAATTGTTGTAAAGAAAGAGAAGATACATGGGATAACTCACCTTCTATATTCTTAGCCATGTCATAGTTGACCACCATGGACACGTCTTGGATGTCGATACCACGCCCAGCCACGTCAGTGGCAACCAGAATGTCCTTGGCACCAGCCTTCAAGTTGGAGAGAGCAAACTCTCGCTGCTCCTGACCTTTGCCACCATGAAGGGTGCATGCATTATACTGGAAAGAAAGAGAAAGGAGATAATTGGCTTCGGTTAAGACAGATGTTTGTTTGTGAGATGGTTGGCAGGGAGGCATGAACTACAATTCCTCCAAAGACAAAGGAAGTCAGGTGTCTGAACAGCACACAGCTAGACAGAGTGCTTTGTCATTCCTATACACTGACAGTAGTGCTTCGTGTACTCAAGAAATGGTGATCCTTACAAAGTTTTAGGGTGCAGGGACAGGATGTGGCAACTGCCAGACCAAGGATCAGTGTGGAGCTACCTCCTTAGAAGTTTTCAGATTCAAGTTTGTACAGGCAAGGGTCTGCACAGGAAGCAGAAAGCATCTTACCAGCTGCTAGTGATTTGACAGCTATCCTCCATTATCATTTACAAGGGGACAAAATTTTCTGTCTTCCTGAAGTATGAGAAAGGCCCACAGGAACTCCATTCTGTGACACTGGGTACCCTCAATCAATGGGTTGGCATACACCACCCACATAGGTCTTGGTTATTTTTTAATTGGGACCTGCAATTCCCCAGCACCTCATGAGATTACTTCTTACCCCCATCTTCTCCAGGGATTTGGCCAGCACATCACAGCCCTTCTTTTGGTTGACAAAGATGATGATGGGTGGATCAAAGCCCTGCTCCAAAATATTCAACAGTTTCTTCCTGTGATGGGAAAAAGAGATGAGGAATAAGCAGACAATTGAGGCAGGATCCTGGGACCTGAAGGTATCATTGAAATGTACATTGCTGTACATATATATATATATATATACACGCACTCAGGTTACATCAAGCTCTAACCTGACCATGTTGTGCTGAGGGCCCGATCTATGGGTCTCCCCAAGGCCTCCTCAGAGCTAAAGAAACTGAGGTCCTGCCCTCCGCCTCCCATACCAATGATTACCTCTTCTCTGACTCAGACATGAGGAAGACCTTCTGTTCCACTCGCTCATGGGGCTTGCCAGCCGAGCCAATGTAAACTACAGCTGGTCGGCGCAAGTAACTGCGGGCCAGGCGCTCCACAGCAGGTGGCATGGTGGCTGTGAACATCACCGTCTGCCGGAAACAGTGGGGAAAGGCAAAAGAGAAAAGGGAGAGCATTGTGAGCACAAGGCAGAGGTGCATCTCAGCCAGCAGCAGAGCCTGCCCAACACTCTCCTGGATGTAAAGAAAGGGAATGCAGGCTCACCATCCCAGGCCGCAAGAAATACAAGTTCCCCTCGAAGCTCTCTGAGTCATCATAGAGCTTTCAGTTAACCACTCATATAGGAATGCAGCTTATTATCTGCTGAACTCTTCTGCCAATTCTACCACTTGACTTTTCTGCTTTGTAAGCACTGAACCTTTCTTTTCCTACTCTGAGCACGACCAACTTTAATTTGATCAGCTTTGTCTTCCCTCATTTAAGGTACATTGTGAAGGACTTCATTTTCCACTAATAAGGACAGAAACACTTATATCAAGGTTTCCCCAAACTCTTATTTTGTGTGTATGAATGTGAACCCAATCGCTCACATGAATGTGGCTTTTTAAGAATCAGAGCTTTCAAGATTTAGCTGCCTCACTGCTCGCAGCAATGACAGAAATCTTTTTAAATCAAGTGCTAGCTTGATTTAAATGTAAAAATGTAAATGTGAAAATGTGCACATAAAGCATGTTGAGTTCTCATGTAAATGTGAAAATGTGCATGTTGAGAAATGTTTGATTAAGGGACTGGTTTCTTTGTGAAAGGAGGGGACTCACAGGTGGGCGCTTGGTGCTGCTTTGTTTTCCACACATCAGACCTGATAGATGGCGAGGCATCCAAGCCCACTAACCTGGCGATACTTGTGCTTGCCCGACTCAAAGTTGGCCATCATCTTATCAGGATCCTCCGCCTCATCAGTATCTGGTTTCTGGTTAGTGACAGGCATGTGCTCCAGAATCTTCTGCACATCAGGCTCGAAGCCCATGTCAATCATGCGGTCAGCCTCATCCAGCACCACATAGGTGCAGCGGCTAAGCACCAGGTAACGGTTCTCCAATACATCAATTAAACGGCCAGGGGTTGCAATCACAATCTGCAGGAGGACAGAGGATGCTTTGAGAAGGAACCAAATGAACCTGGCGCAGCAAGAAACAATGAAGCACAATTACAGGGTAACACTGTGAGCAATGTGCTCTTTCCCGGTGTTCTGTCCAGACGGGAAAGTGAAGGCTAAGCTATGAAATCAGAGAAGAGGAAGCTCTGCAGGGTTATCATCATTTATCTTTCTTGAAAGTGCACGTGGGCAATGCATCTATGGTTAAGGTGGAAACTCCACCAAACACTTCCAGCATGGAAGCAGCTCTCACCTCACAGCCCATGCGCAGGCGAAAGCCTTGGTCTTCACGTGAGATGCCACCAATAACAGCCACTGTACGAATGCCCAGTGGTTTCCCAAACTTAATGGTCTCTTCCTCAATCTGCTGGGCCAGCTCACGGGTGGGGGCAAGAATGATGGCATATGGTCCTTGATCAGACTCCTCAATCCTGCGAGGAAGGAAAACAGCATGTTGAGTTCTAGCCAAATGGGTGAAAGTCTCTCTGGTCAGGATGACTTCAAAGAAGAGAGGACTCCCCACTGCAAAGTAGTCTTCTATGTTGCTAGAAGGGACTGTGAAAAACGCAGGATTCTTTTAATGCTTAGGCACTTTTGCATCTTTGTGACCTTGATTCAGCTAGATAGCACCAAAATGAAATAAAGTAAAAGCTGATTGGACCAGAGGCTTTTATAGCCTCAACAAGGCAAGGACCTCAAATAACATCATTTGGGGGAAAAGCTACCCATCATGGTATAGTGTTATCTTCCAATTTTGATGTGCCAGGCTCCTTCCCTCCTGATATTCAGGAAATTAGTGAAGACAAAATTTTACAAAGCTCTCTTCAATAATTTATCCCCCAGATGCTGTTAAGGTGTTTTTTCTCCCTTGCACCTTTTTCTTTTTGTCTTAATTTTAGATCTAGTTTGATAAACTCCAGATATTGATTTTATTGTTCTACAAGGTTGTGTGGGGTTCTGAGTTTTAATTTGTAAACAGTCCAGAATGGGGTTTCCACTAAAAGGGTGGTATATAAATTAAATCATCAATCAATTCGCATGCTACTTATTAGCTGCCCAGAAGCATCACACTTGGCAACTGCTGGAAACAGTAATGGTGGATTGGCTGACTCTGTCACCTATTCCAGTGTTGCAATTCACAGGCCTGCATCAGACTGCCACTCCCAGAGCACTACCTGCTTGCCAATATTTAATCTATTAAGGGAAAAACTCCTCGCCTTTCTCATCCAAGAGATCTGTCAAATTTGGCAGGTACCAGGAAGAGGCCTTTTCTGCACTAACCTCATATCTCTGGAATACAACCTTTTCAAGGCCCCTCACTAAAGCCTTCAAGAAAGATCTCAAGGATCATTTATTTTCCCTGACCTGAGATTGTTTTTTTTTTTAATTACTCTGCCTCAGTTTGATTTTTTAACAACTATTTTGAGGGAGGGAACGTATGTGTTTCGTAATCACCATTAGTTTTTATTAATTCTGACATGTGTTGTTGCCTCATTTTTATCCTGTGAGCCAGCTTGAGAAAGTTTTGCATTCTAAAAAAATTACCTAAAAATATTTTGAAGAATTAACTTGTGAGAATACATTGCGAGCTGTCCTCTCACCTGTCAATCTTGGGCAAGGTGGTGATCCACACCAGCAGTGGGATAAGGAAGGCAGCTGTTTTACCACTGCCAGTCTCGGCCACGCCAATGATGTCACGGTTCTGTAGACCAATAGGGATAGCTTGACGCTGGATAGGAGTCGGTTCCTGGGAAGAACAAGGAACAAAACTTGTTAGGATAGAGCTGAACCTCCTAAAAGGAATCATCCAAGAGACTGGAAGGGAACAAGGAAAGACTCCCGGAAGCCTCTCATGCTCCGTCTTTCCTGTACAACTTCCCTGTTAACAACACACCGTTCAAAGAACAGGGTAGATCACCAGCAGATGCCTCCATGAGACTCTTTTCCTCTCCATACCCGGAGAAGCTACAGGCGTGCTCTAGCAACAAACTGACTCTCAGGTATGCCATCTCTCTTACCTTGTAGCCACACTTGTCGATAACCTCCAAGATATGAGGGGGCAGGGAAGAGTCCTTCCAGGAGCGGATGGGGTTGGGGATCTTGCCACCCTTGGTGGTGATGCTATAATCCTCCCGGAAGATACGCCAGTCTCTGTCTGTCATCTCGTCCAATTTCTTTTGGGACCAATGCCTGTCATCCCAGCGTTGCTTGGCTTCCTTTTTGCGCAGCTTGCGCAGACGTGCCCTGTCAAGCAGGAAAGGGAGATCTCAAGAGGCAAGACAAATAGGAGCGACCACAACAGCTTGGGGGGGGGGAGCAGAAAACCAACAGAAGATCACTTGCACTGACCCACAAAAAACACATACGCAGGAATGGTTCTGTAAAACTAAGATTTTGTTAACATTTACTGGACTTCAGCTTCTGGAATGATATTCAGTGCCTCTAACAGGCTTCTGGATGGCTCAGACTTCTAATTTTTCATTTTATAGTGTCCCAGTAAGAGTTTAGCTCTCAATATTTTGAGGATACAACTCCTCAAAACTGGGATTCAAGTGGCCTGGGCTGCCAGTATCCCAGTAGTCCGGCAAAGGACTGGTTTGACAATCACTGTCCATGTTTTAGCCTGAACTCTGTTATTTTGCAATATCCAATTTCTCTCTCCCTTATTTCTAGGGCAGTATTCTGAAAGCACTGTTTTAACTGGCAGACACGGTTCCCTTATTTTTAAGTTCCACAAAGTATTTTCCAACTGCTTCCTTTCCCTTACATCACACAACTCTGCTTGCTGAAGGCCTTCCTGTTATGTAGCTTTTAAAGGCACAAGATCTCAGGAACAGAAGAAATGTGAAAATGACCAACCCGCTCAAGAAAGCAAGCTAGCATGACTTCCGTAAATGATAAGCAGCCTGTATAGGTAATCAATTCAATAACTGAACCAAGTAAACAAGTACACAATTTAATCAGTTTGGGTAATTCAATCTTCTCACAACAAAGTTGCAGAATTCAGTTTTCCTGGCTAGTCTCATCTGCTGACTTGTAGCAAATAAAAGTCCTTGTACATGAGAAGGAAGTGGATCTTATAATTTCCCATGAACACCAACTTCCAGAGAAACCCATGCAATTCAAGTGTGCATCTATCAACTCTCCTAAGTTGGAGCTTAAATTCAACTTAAATTCTTCAACTCCAGCCACTCTCTTTTATCCTCACATGACTTACTCTTCTTGCTCCTTTTCTTCTAGTGTGCGCCGCTTCTCCATCAGGTCCCCATAAAAACGGGACTGCTCCCGCTTCTGCTGTTTCAAGTCAATGCCGGCAATGAAGCCACGCCCCAGCAGCTGAACCTGATGTCGCTCCTTGTAGCTGTTGAACAAAATGTCAATGGTCAGGATTGCAATCAAAACTGTGTAGAGCATTCCCTTAAAGGAGCCAATTAGAAGATTCCAGACTCCTCAAGCGTAGGTATCCCTTTTTTTGTTTTGTTTAAAAGGCAGGAGCAGCTTTCTAACTCTCAAGCCTTACATATAAAAATAAAGAATGCTCAGACAGCCTTCAATTAACAGATCTTGATGCTAATGTTTCCATACAAATACTGTACAATTGCCAACTTTCTGTTCAGATGAATATACGAAGCTGATTTATATGCAAGCTGCCAAGTTCTCTACTGCCTATAAAAAGAGGTAGCAGCTGTCCCAGGTTTTAGATGTCCTTTTTAAACTCAGCTCCTATAACCAAGCCCCATCTCTGCACTTGTCTTTTGCTGAAGATGCCAGAGATTAAATTGGGAATCTTCTTTACAAAAGTATGCCTTCTTCTACTGAACTACAACCCACACTCAGGGTCATTAACAAAGTAGCTAGCACAATACTTTTCATTTTCCAACCCAAGTAAAATATGCACAGTCTTGTGCTGCTGCTCATCAGACACCAGTCCTTGTATGACAACAAACCTCACAGATGATGTACCTTCCAAAGTGGTACTCACAGAGGGTTATAGTCAATAGAAGTGTCCTCCGAAGCATCCCATTCAAAGACAAATTTGCGATCATTCAGGTGTCGAGTGCGCCTCCTCTTCTTGACTCCGCCCAAGTACCGCTCCTGGGGATATAACATTTATCCATTTTACACTATGCTTTTATACACTGCCACTCTTTTCCAACACAAATGCAACAATTCAGTTACACTATGCATTTCTAAGGCATTTTTAGAACTTTGCCAATATGTTACACATTCAAAACCTTGGAAGATACTTGACAAGTATCATTCTTTTCATCGTTTACAGATGATTTAGGCTGAGAAAAAAATTGGATTTGACTAAGGCTTCTTGATGAGAGAAGTGAAGTTTCAACTGGGGACCTCCTGGCTCACAGTTCAGAAATTTCACAAATAGATTACAGTGGCTCTTAGTCAGCTTTTCTCCTCTTGGGCTCATTTGTTACCTATTTGTCTCTGTCCTTTATCGCTGTTTCACCAAAAACTGGATTTTGAGAACTCAGATCCAGGACCTAATGGTCTGCATTTGTTAGCACACCAGTGACTGAATTCTCAACCCAGCTTTGTAAAAAGAACATTTCAGTTTCCATATAGCTATGCTTGAAGATGTGCTCAGAGATGGTAATCCTGCTCAGAGATGGGTTGCTATTTTTCTCTCCAGCTTCATGCTCCAAATATTCAGGAAGACCCACAAAGAATTCTTCAGAGCAGCCTGGCTTTAAGCTTAAAGTCATAACCCAACAAGCAGCAGATGACAGAAGAGAGCGACCAAATGCCACACATAACGGATCCATTCAATTGGAGGCTTTTTCAAAGGACCGTTGTGCTCTGTTGTTTTAAATGTGTTTTAGTATTGATTTTACTTACTGTTTTCAAAATAACACTTGCTTAATTCTTTCTTAAACTTTTAAATATTTGTATCCTTACTGTTTTAGCTTTTAAATATTGTCTTTTTAATGATGTAAGCAGCACTGGGTGCTTTTTGAGGAGAAAGACGGGACAGAAATACTTTAAATAAATAAATAAAAATCCCCCAAACTGCATTTTAGTAAGGATAGAATCAACATCTAGGCATGGACAGAAGACTGAGACATGCCAAGCTGATCTCTTGTGGATGGTCAAAAAATATGCCCATATTGTGACAATCAACTCACATACATTAGAACAAATAAAGGCAGAAAAATTGTTTGCTGATCCATGCCAAACATGTTACACATGCTGATGAAGTCAACGTGTGCTGATTTGAACTCTAGGTATGCAAAACCTACTATTTTAGATAAATCAACCTTCCTGTCCTGTGACTACCCTTCCACTCTCGTCCATGAGACTTCATCTCAGTCTCATATGGAGACTGGGGTAAGATGGAGGTAAGCCTTGGACAGCACCCAGCTCAGAAATCATCACCTTGATAGCATGCAGCTCCTTGCTCTTGTCCTTCTCTTCACGGATTTTCTGACGCCCCTCCTCATCCTCATTGCCGTTGGTCTCTCGTTCCATGCGCTCTCTCCTCTCACGCCGCTCCCTCTCTTGGGGGTCTTCTACAAAGAGGGCAAAGGATGGGTTGTCAAGGAAGGATGGCACCAGATTTAGGGCACACTATTCAGTGGTCCAACTACATGTTGTAGGCCATCCAGCAAGAGAGGAAGACTTACTTACCCAGCATCTTCCTCCCCATCTCTTGGAACTGCTTCCTTTTCTTCCTCTCATCCTCCAGCAGCCGCTGTCGCTCCTCCACTTCCTGCTGCCGGCGTTTCAAGGCCTCAGCCTCTCGTTCTGCCTTGGAAAGAAATTTGGGCTGCCAAAAAAAAATATTTTTAAAATTAAAATAAAATACAGTGGACCCTCTACTTAAGGAATTAATCCGTATTGGAATGGTGGCTGCAAGTTGAAAAGTCTGTAAGTCGAGGGTCCACTGTAAATCAGAGCATGGTGATGAGCATGCAAGGAAATCTAGTATCCCTCCTTTAGGACAAATTCTGATAGACCATGAAGGAGCAGGGATACTTCACAGTTCTTCTATAGTAGCTGCAAAAAACACATGCACAGCTTGCTATCACCCACCGCGTGCACTACACGATCTCACATTGGCAAGAGGGAGAAAAATGGAGATGCATTTCATGCTCTCACCTTAGCTTCAGCCTCTTCTTCGGCTTTCTTTTTGGCTAGGAGCTCCTCCAGCGAAAGCGGCTGAGCCTGTGAAGAAACAGTTGTCAATAAATGTCCAAGAAAAGATGTCAAAGAACACAAAACACTACAATTAAAGCAATGGCATTCATAAAGTATTCAAGAAACCAAGTCTGGAAAACAATCCCAGTAATCATTTTTAATTGGTGTGGATCACGTAGGAAGAACTTCCCTAACTGCCTGGGTACAGAGAACAGAAAAATCTGTATAAAGATGACATAGAAATATCTAAGTAAGAACAACCAAGATTCTTACTTATAAGATCCCAGGAAAATACTTTTAAAAGTCAGTTCTATACTTTTATGAAAAAACAGTCCCAATTAACAAAGCTTGGGATGGTGTAGAGCAGTGGTCCCCAACCTCTTTAGCCCTGCGGACCAGCCGGGGAAGGCGGGGCACTCCCCTGTGCTCATGTGCATGCGTGAAGGGTGGCACAGTGCTCATGCGGGCATGTGCTCACTTGCACGGAGGCGCAAACAGGCTGTGGGGGGAAGTGTGTAAGGGGGTGGGGGGAGTTCTGTCTCCGCGGCCTGGTTCGGTTCAGGCCATGTACCGGCACCGGGTCATGTGTGAGGGGGGAGTTCTGTCTCCGCGGCCCGGTTCGGTTCAGGCCACGTACTGGCACCGGGCCGTGGACCAGAGGTTGGGGACCTCTGGTGTAGAGAATCAAACATATCTGCCAGCACCCTAATTCATGCTACAGGGAAGTAGGTATCTCCTTAAGATCAGAAAGACATAAGCAATACCTTTTCTTTCTTGGCCAAGGCCTCATCCTCTTCATCTTTACGAGAATCTCTTTCTTTCCTCGATTTGTTCCGACTTGGAGAGCTGCTCCTGCTCGGGACGGAGGCAAGAGTCAGAAGAAAAGCAACCCTGCTTTCTTTCACTTATGGCATCCACAAATTTTGTTGGCCAGCTGGAAATCTGCAAGTGTCTGCAGGGAGGGTGAGGTGTTTGATCTCACATCGCTGATCCAAAATGCACCACAAGGCCAGGAAAATCTCCTGCTTTTCTCTTCAGCTCGAACTCTGGGGGTTCTGGATTGGGAGTCACTATTCCCAGAATTATTGTGGAGTTGCAGAACAACTCACAGCTCAGAGCTGGTCTCTGTGTTGTGGGTGCTTAGTAGTCTACCAAACATTAAAAAAAAACCCAGAGCCCCTCTCAGTCCTAGAAGCTGGATGTCTCTGCAGCCACAAAGTGATCTAAGATGCTCAAGACTCTTGTAAATCCAGCACCAACACAGGGATGAATGGGGAAGGGTGGTAGGCTGAAAGGTCCCTTGCATTGCATTGCATTCTGGGAGTGTTGAAAGTACTTCTGAAGCATTGCAGAATGTGAGGCTGATCCTCATTTCCTACTCCAAAGACTGGAAGCAGGTCCAGAACACATCATGCTAACCAGAGGATGGTTCAACACTCTTCATTACAAGCAGAATCCTGGATCTCTGTCACTACAGGGGTTCTCAAGAGAAGCTGCCTGCTGCTTTGGCCCATGCTTCCATTACAACATGGGGTTATTTACATGCCTGGGAAAACCTGACTCCATGAATAGCATAGGTGGCCAGAAACGAACATACAAAACAATGTTATTGGACAACCACCTATCAGTCAATGAAAGAGAAAAATTCTGCAAAGAAAACAGTTGCACCCTAACCAACAATGTCCAACAAGACCATTAATTCACCAAATTATAAGCTGCCTTGACTCATAGTCACTGATGGTACTTCTGCACTTCAATGAAGCATCAGGCCTTTTAATGACCATTGATGCTCACATTTCATACAAGTCCTTTTAAAAACTCATCTAACATAAGAGATTCTTGAACCCAAGATACAGGTCCTGACGAAGAGACTGCAAACTCAATGTGTAATCTTAAATATTCCTGAGGGAACGTCTCTCCCCATGTGAGCCTTCTCAACGTTTAAGGTTGTCAGAGGAGATCCTGCTCTCCACTGCCGGCGCAGGCATGGCTGATGAGGACACCAGAGAGGGCCTTCTCTGTGGCAGTTCCCAAGTTATGGAATGCTCTCCCTCAGGAGGTCAGGCTGGCCCCCCTCCTTTCTATCCTTCCACCAACAGCTAAAGAACCATCTCTTCAGGCAGATTTTTAACAATTATGATCAAAACCTTAAATGCCTTTTTAAAGTTAAGACAGCTTTTAATGTTTACTTGTTTTTAATTATGCATTTGTATTTTAATTAGCACAGTTTTTTATTAACTTATGTTTTTAATTCTATTCTTTTTAATAGTGTGAGACACCTTGTGCCTCCTTATCAGGAGAAAGGCATCATCATCATCATCATCCTGCAAGGGTGCTGTTCTACAAGAAAAATGACATCCAGGAAGCAGCTTCACTCATAGCACATCCTGGAGGAGAACGGTGCTTTACCTGGATCGTTTACGGTCCTTGTCCCTCCGGTGTCCATCTTTCTCACGATCCCGGTCCTTCTTGCTGCGATCCCGCTCTTTTTCTCGCTCCCTGTCTTTATACCGCCGTTCTCTATGAATAGATAATTTAAATGTAGACAAATAAAGACAAGCGAACCCTCCTCCTCCCACTGGGCAGCAGAAACAGGCAAGCACCCACTTTGCCATTGAATCAGCAGGTTTCAATTATTGCTAAAAAACACATCTCCTCCTATGGTTTGCCCATGCTCACCAACCAAGTTTTTATGCAAAGGGCAGAGCTGTGGTCTATTGGTAAAGAAGAACCAGAAACACACAGGAAGAGTAACTGAAGATGATCAACACTAAATGGACATGAAAGTCTGGGGTAATGACATGGAAATGCTGGATTTGGCACTGGGTACAGAAAACAGCATCATAATAATATGTTTCCTCCTTTTAAAAGCATCAAAAATTGTCTGACAAATGTGTAGCTGCTGCCTAGTCAAAGTTAAGATGCAGGTCCAAGAGATTAGCATTTCTAGAAATGAGGCTTAAACTTCCGGGAAATGGTAATTTGATAATTTTCTAGCCCATCCCAATGCAAACAAAAGTTAAATAATTTTGTCAAGGGAAACATTGAAATGTGCTTGGTTTATGCAATTCTGTCAGAGTCCAAGTTTTCTCAGTGAAGACTGAAATTATTTTGTAATTTTAAATTCTAAAATTCTACACACAAAAGCCCAGAAAAAAAGAGACAGAAGTACACAAGGTGCCCTTAAAGTTCTGGAAGTACCTCGGATAAATAGACTGTATCATGATGTCTCAGTTCAACTCAAATAATTTGAGTTGCTATGGAAAAGCTAGAACAAAATTAACAAAATGTGACTCAGTACTCAGGTTGCACTTAATCTTACCATAAGCGAAATCTACTTTTTCTCTGCCATTAAGCCAATTAAAGCTGAATAGGCGAAACCTTCTCTGTGGCAAACCATCAGGATCAATTCTCCCCTGAAGACTGAGAAGGCACACAGGGCGTGTTTAGACAGGAAAACCTTGTATGGTCTGGTTCTCACTTAAAAGGTTATTGTCAATGTGATCTATTTTATCTCTGACTTGAGCAATCCTTCCCTTCACATGGGAGATGTGAGAAGGGTCCACACAGGTCTTTGATCACTGGCTTACACATACATTTACCCTAAGAAGACAGCAGTGCTACTGGCATGAGAGGTGAAGGTTGGGGATATGGAAACTAGAGGAGAGGGTTTCTCCATCCTCCCTTTTAATGTCACAACCCACCTCAGGGTTGTCACCTCAGATAATGCTCTCCAATGTTTCATTTGGGTACAAGCTAACCATCCACAACAAGCTAATCAGGATGGCACTAATTTGTACCAAAAAGAATACATGCCCTAGCACCCCAAGCAGGGAACCGATCATCGCAAAGTGAAATTCCCCCATAGGGAACATCGGAAAGTGATCGCAAAAGCGATCTCAAAATCTTCATCGCAAAGCGATTTCATCGTTATCCGAAGCAATCGCTATGCGAGGCACCACTGTAACATGTTTCCTCCTGTTAAAAGCAACAAAAATTGTCTGATAAATGTGTAGCTTCTGCCTAGTCAAAGATAAGATGCAGATCCAAGAGATTAGCATTTTTAGAAGTGAGGCTTAAACTTCCGGGAACTAAACTTCCGGGAAATGGTAATTTGATAATTTTCTAGCCCATCCCAATGCAAACAAAAGTTAAATAATTTTGTCAAGGGAAACATTGAAATGTGCTTGGTTTATGCAATTCTGTCAGAGTCCAAGTTTTCTCAGTGAAGACTGAAATTATTTTGTAATTTTAAATTCTAAAATTCTACACACAAAAGCCCAGAAAAAAAGAGACAGAAGTACACAAGGTGCCCTTAAAGTTCTGGAGGTACCTCGGATAAATAGACTGTATTGTGATGTCTCAGTTCAACTCAAATAATTTGAGTTGCTATGGAAAAGCTAGAACAAAATTAACAAAATGTGACTCAGTACTCAGGTTGCACTTAATCTTACCATAAGCGAAATCTACTTTTTCTCTGCCATTAAGCCAATTAAAGCTGAATAGGCGAAACCTTCTCTGTGGCAAACCATCAGGATCAATTCCCCCTGAAGACTGAGAAGGCACACAGGGCCTGTTTAGACAGGAAAACGTCGTATGGTCTGATTCTCACTTAAAAAGTTATTGTCAATGTGATCTATTTTATCTCTCACTTGAGCAACCCTTCCCTTCACATGGGAGATGTGAGAAGGGTCCACACAGGTCTTTGGATCACTGGCTTACACATACATTTACTGTAAGAAGACAGCAGTGCTACTGGCAGGAGAGGTGAAGGTTGGGGATATGGAAACTAGAGGAGAGGGTTTCTCCATCCTCCCTTTTAATGTCACAACCCACCTCAGGGTTGTCACCTCAGATAATGCTCTCCAATGTTTCATTTGGGTACAAGCTAACCATCCACAACAAGCTAATCAGGATGGCACTAATTTGTACCAAAAAGAATACATGCCCTAGCACTGCATCAGAAAGGTGTGCAACAGTTTTGAAAGGAGAAAGGTAGATTGATTCAAGTAAAAACATGTGTGGACACCATCATTTGCTTCAAACCATACCAAGAGTGGTCCATACACTGATCCATGGGCCCACAGTCTGCCATTACCTTACCTCTCAGGTGACTTGGATCTAGATCGAGACCTTGAACGGCTGCCTCGTCTCCGCTCACGGGAACGATGTCGTTTTCTGTCTTTGGCACTGGGAGAGGACTTCCTCTCACGCTCTCTGTCGCGTTCCCGGTCTGCTGAACGGGAGCGTCTCCGTTCTTCTTTGACAGGTGAAGAATCTCGATCTCTCTTTTCAACAGTTTCCCCAGCCATCTGCATACGGAATATGAGATTAGCATGTGACAGGCTATAGATATAACCTAATAAAGAACACAAAGTTTTTGTTCCTCTTCTAAATGGCAGGAAGCATAAAAAACTGCTTCACAATGAGTCAATCCATGAGTTGAGCCATCTATCTCAGTACTGCCAGCCACTAGCAGCTGCTCTCCAGGGTTTCAAGCAGGGGCTCTTTCCAGCCATATCTGCACATCCTAAGGAATGGAACCTGGGGCTTTTCTGGATGCACAACAAGGGCTATACTACACAGCAACAGTTCCTGAGCTCATTTTCAGAGTGTTGGAGCAAGCTGTGGCTCAACAATTAGAAACTACAAGGCCTACTTTGAGCCCTAGGCCCCCAGCTGTCCCCTCCAGTTGAAATAAGAAAGAGAAGCATGGAAAGGTGAGCGTCCTTAGGAAGGGACTTTCTGGCAAGCTATTTTGCAAGGTTACTGGGTTTGGGTTGCCACCTTCTCCATTGGTCCCTTAAAGCACCCATGCTCAACAGGAGCCATATGGTCCCCTGGAAGGTCCTGGAACATTTGATGGGGCCACAAAATGGAAACAATTCTTCACACACCAACTTCTAAGGTTCGTTGTGTGATTTATACCACCCCAATTCAGCCTATATTTATTTCATATTGTGTTTATGGCTTGGCCAAAAAAAGGTTGAGAATGGGTGCCCTAGAGAAACTAATGTACTGACTCAAAGGATCTTTTCGTAGGCTGGCTACCTAACCCTATTTTAATCCAGCTGCTCTATACTAGAAAACCACACATACATAAAAAGCTAGAAAAAGAAAAAAGCACATCTATCCAAATTTATTAGCCTTTTAAAAAAGTGGTTGTGTCACGTTCACAAAAAGCTGCTTTATGTATAATCTTGCTCCTTTCATTGCATGGAATTTTTTAAAAGTACAACACAGATATGCAACGACAGACAGATCAGACAGTTTCACTAGCATGTAGGCAGGTTGAAATGCCATGACTTTCAGCACATTTTAGCACCATATGCATGTGTTAAATGTATCTTTTGCTAAGTGCACATGCATGGATGTATCATTCTCATAGTTGTGCGGGATCTGCAAGTGGGTTCCATGAAGATCACTGTGTTGGGGTGGTTAGAGAACACGTACGTTCTGTCAGGAAGTCTACTTGGTCACTTTGGGACAGTCAAAACTCTCTCATTCTAACATCTTACACAATGGTTGTGGAGGGAAAATAGAGGTGGGTGAGCAAGACAGGTATGCCTCACTGAACTTCTTGGAAGAAGAGTGGGATATAAATATGCATTTTTTTTAAAAAAAGAAAAGAAACAATAAATTATTTCTGATTTCCATATAAAGAAAATGTCATTTGTGAGAAAGAGGAAAGATTGCTTCCCAGGCCGCTCATGGGCCAGAGAATCACATCAAACCCTCTTAAGATCAAGTGAACCATCAAGGCCGCTATCTCTCCTAATCAGCACGAAATGGGAGGAAACATTGCCTCCCTTCAGCACCCCACGGCCCCCACGTCCACCCCTCGCTTTCTAAATCTGGAAAGAAGAGGAGGACGCTTAGGCTTTGCTTTGTTTTTTTGTAAAACGAGGCAGTAAAGCGCCAGCCAGCCAGCCAGCCTGGAGAGGCTCAACTCTGATCCAGAAGCTTCTTCCTCTCCGATGCCCGATGTGTGAGACTCAAGACAGCTACCCGGCGAAGATACAACTCTGCACGCTCTCAGAGACTGCCCTCCTCACATACTCCCAACACTGAGCTTTGCTTCAAAAATAAATTAATCTCATATAAAGGGAGGGGGGTCTCCTGCCATGCCCCTAGCCAACTGCTTCAAGCCAAAACTCCTCGACCTCTTTGTGGTCGCTGAAAATACCAAACGAGGCCAAATGAAAAAAGGGATTCGCCTCACCTGTAACGTTCCTCGACGTCCGAAACCACTCACTGGTGCCCCGGAGCCGCCGCCATCTTAATCAAACGTAGCCTGCTCCGAGCTGCTCCTTGCCGCACAGCATCATGGGAAAGCAAGTCCGTTCGGCTATTTGCGTTCACCTCAAGGTTCAAGCCAATGACTACGACTCCCAAGAGGCAAAGCGAGGCGGGTGCAAAAAAAACCGGGGGGCCCATCATACACCACGCCATACGTATTTTTAACCATACGGATTAGCCTTTGCGATGGACGTATCGATGTGTCGAAAAACTCTCCGGCCGAACTACAATTCCCGACGGATCTTTCGCTTGCAAAACTGGAGAATAGCGCCCCTTCTGGTAGGTGCGGAAAAGTTCTGTGAGTGGCGCTGAGGCTCATTTTTCTCGCGCGGGGAGTTTTTGTCCTCCTAAAAGCAGAGCATTGTTTGGAACCCAGGCGGGCAGGCAGGCAGGCAAGGCACGGCTTGCTTGCTTGCTTGCTTGCAAGGCGTCCCATGACATGCAATAAAGCACTGATAAAAGGGGCTGCCGTGCTCGAAAGCGTGAACCGGATAAACTTTAACAAAATTGGCGGAAGAAAAGAGAGAAAAAGTCTAAAGGCATCTTCAAAGAGTACTAACATGTTTAGCTAGTAGTTTTTCTTTTGGTCTTGTTGGTTATATGTTAGATCGTTAATGTTTTTGAGTTTGTATGTCATAATTTAAAAAAAAAGATTATTAACATGTAGTGTACGAGCCACCTAGGGGCCCCTGCTGACGAGAGTCCCAATTCCATATTGGGGCGATACCTGTATTATTAGACAGACCGACCCCTAACCTCTGACTCTGCAGCCAGATGCCTAAACCCACTGAAAAAATCAGGATATGGTCCTTAAAAACAATATAAATGCAGGAACTGGTGATCCCTTTATTGGACCATTAAGCAAACAAAAAACAAAAACTAGAGCGAACTTTTGATACAGTAATTCATTTTTCTCAGGCTATCCGTCAAGTTCACGGGCAGCTCCAAAATAATATGTTTAAATTAAAATCCCAAAAGTTAAATAAGGTCATACATTCCAAATTACTGGCGCTTGCATGCTTCAAACTACAACTGTCTCCATCTAAGAAGCTGTGGCTGGCCCCCAACAAGGGCCATGAAACTTCCGGGACTTTAATATAAACATACAGTATTATTTTGGAGTTCCCCCACAAGAACTTGGTGCAGAGCCTGAGGAAGGTGAATTGTCAAAAGCTTGCTCTGGTTTTTGTTTTATTTTCTTATGGTCCAATAAAGGTATCACCTATTCCTACACTAAAGCACTGATTTACCCAGCCAACTCCCATCTCTCTTACCCACCTCCCTTCTGTAGCCTCCAATTTTAGCAGCTGACCAAGATGGTGAATTTCTGCCTGGCAGGAATGGCCTGTGGCCTCAAGAAATTGTTCAAATAGGCATTGTGTTTTATTTAAACAAATTATTTATTTATTTATTTATTTATTTATTTATTTATTTATTTAATTTATATCCCGCCTATCTAGTCAACTCAGGACCACTCTAGGCGGCTAGGTTGTCCCTTTATTGGAAATCAAGGTTATAGTTGCTTGTGGGTTAACGAAATTCTGGTATGCAGGCATGGGGAAGGGGTTCCAAAAGGCATTTGTGTAGATGCTTAGAAAACTAGGTTACTTTCCTTTGTGTTCCCAGTTCTAAACGTGGCTTATTTAAGCCATGAATACTATTTACAGAAGGAATCTTTCATCCCTTTTATAGCTCTTGACTTTTTTCAGTCAACAACAGAAACATTTTTTTAAAAAAAACAAAAGTGTTGTGGCACCTTAAAGATGAACCACTATATTTTAATGTGAGCCCTTGTGGACAAGCCCACTTCCTTTTGTTTCAAGATGTTGACTTGCTCACAAAAGCTCACATTAAAATATAGCAGTTTGTCTTAAGGTGCCACAGTGCTTTTGTCTTTAATTTTTATTTTTCTTATTTTTGTCTATTACACTTGCACAGACTACCTCTTCTAAAACTTGACTATTTTTTCATTATCCATGCTGACAATCCCTTGGACATGTCTGCAGCTTTCCTATTCAATATTTTTGTGACTGGCCTCACACATTTTCTTGTCTGGGATAAAGGACTTGGAGGTGCTCCCCTCAGGCTTGCCTGCAGCCAAAGCGTACATTGGACTGGAAAAGGTCTCCCACTGCTCGTTCAAGCCAAAATCAAGGAGGGATGCGGAACAGTCTGTGTGGTACAAAGCAGTGCCTTTGTTCCTCCATCAGTTTGTAGACAGGGCTCTCTTGCAACATGACTTTTTCTTTAAAAACTCAAAAGTTGCATCTCAGCTGTCAGCATTTCCAGCTGAAGCAGCTTTCATTACATTGTCTACTGGCAGGGACAATGTGGCGCAGTGGTTAGAGTATTTGAGTGGGACTTAGGAAACTCAATTTCTTTTAAAATTAAGCCATGAAATTCACAGTATATCCTTGGGCTAGTTCCTCTCTCCCACATTGAGGCACCTTACAAGATTGCTGAGAGAGCTACATATATAGTGCCTTGTAATGAATGTCTAATAAGTATGTCTGGCCTTGCTAATCAGTGTGTACATTGGTAATCACAGTGGAACCCTAATCAGTGTGTACATTGGTAATCACAGTAGAATACACCCTTCACCCTCACCCTTGAAAAGGGCATGCCGTATGTGCAGTTACTGTGAGTCCTCTGTTCATGACATATGTCCACTCCCACAGAATAACCACATGTGGGAATTAGTACACAGGATGTTATAGAGCAGGTGCTCATTTGCTCAGGGGATAAAGTCCAGCAGAGCAGGCATTAGTCTCTGGCTACTACATATTGCTCAGGTGCTAGGAAATGTGGAAGACCATAGCTATGAGTCAACAGAGGTAGTATATATGTATCTCACTTCCTTCTCTTGCCACTCTTTCTTACTTTTTTCCTTAAAGTCCCTTACCTGGAAGGTAGGAGGAGGGACAGAAAATATATTTGATCATATAAGGGAATAGGATTTTGCCCCTTAGACGCCATGTTCTGAAATCTTCTGAATGAAGAGCATCATGTGGCAATATTAATGATTTTATCAAAAGAAGCACAAGTCTGTCTTCACAAAAGCAAAGAACGTTGATTCAAACGAGCCTTTGTTGGCCAGGGTACTCTTAGTGGCAAATTAAGGCTGCAGTTCTGTACATGCTTACCATGGACTTCGTGTCAAGCTTAGCAAGGCTTACTTTTGAGTAAGAATGGACAGGCTTGTGCTGCCAGTGTGACAACAGAAATAAAAGGAGAAATGGAGACAGGTAGGGAATAGAGTGATTTAGCTGTCTTAAGTCTTTTTGGGTTTCAGGAGCCAAGCTAGCATAGCCACAGATATTGAATGATGGAGGCTGTAGTCCAAAAAAATCTGGATGGCTACAGTTGCTCCCATCCAAGCTAGGAAGAAAGTGAAAATAAGCTGGAAGCTTGGTGAAATTGTACCATACTTCCCCAAAATTTTAACATGACGGAGTGAGCGCCTGTCGCTTGTCTCAGCTCCCACCAACCTAGTGGTTCAAAAGCATGCAAAATGTGAGTAGATAAATAGGGACCACCTCGGTGGGAAGGAAACAGCGTTCTGTGTCTAAGTCGCACTGGCCATGTGACCATGGAAGATTGTCTTCGGACAAACGCTGACTCTATGGCTTGGAAACGGGGATGCGCACCGCCCCCTAGAATCGAACATGACTGGACAAAAAATTGTCAAGGGGAACCTTTACCTTTACCTTTCCGCACATAATCTTGAAGACTGGGATATTTCTATGTTTTTGTCAGGAAAACCAGAATTCAGAAGAATCTGGCAGGGCTCACACAATTGTGCCACTGCTGGAACACAGACAGAGCTTGTCACCAGTGCATAAAGTCATAAAGATACTGTAGGTAGAGCTGCACCCCATATGCAGAATATCATCTTCACCCTGCAAAGTACTTGAAATGGGTTTTATCTTGAATTAAGAGCGCCAAGTTGCTGGATCACACTAAATGCTTTTGGAGCAGGCGCTGTTAGGTTTTGGGCTGTAATATTGCACTATCACCCAAAGACAAGCTTTTCTTGCCTAAAGCTTGCCATCCCATAAGAAACTATGGGATCCTTAAACTTCCACAGCGTATTTTGCTAACAGCATCTGAATATGACAAGGAAAAGCCATACATAGCTCATGATGAATAATGTTTCCTGCAGTTTAGGGAACTACAGATCAAAGACAGGAGATTATTACAACAGGCATTTGTAAGTTCCAGGGTTTCTCTAAAGAACAGGGGTGACTTACGGTACAACAAGGGCATAGAACATATGCAGCCCTCCAGGTTTCACTGAACTGAACCATCCTTGAATTCTAACCAGCATGGGTAGTTGGGAGGGATAGTGAAAGCTGAAGCCTAACAATAGCTGGAGGGCCACACATTCCCTATCTCCAGCAGAAGGGAGGCATTAAATGGAATCTCTCTACACAAAGTTGACAAATATTGCAGTTGAAGTCTACCTTCCTGTCCCACCTTCTACAGCAGACAGATCAATGTGGAAAGCAAACTCCAGTATTCAAAGCTTGACCTTTGCATGTGGTAAAACATTAGCAAGCCTAGGAAAACATTGGGTCTCTCAGCATGTTCTCAGACCCATCAATACTTACATTGTTATTTCTGAGACTACATCTTCCATAATCCTTTACCACTAGCTGTCAGCATGTTCTCAGACCCATCAATACTTATACAGTATTGTTATTTCTGGGACTACATCTTCCATAATCCTTTACCATTAGCTTTACATGCTGGGGATTCTGGAAGCCAAAGTCCAACAATAGGTGAAAGGTGGGAATTTCCCCATTCTTGCTTTATAATTTGCATCTTTTGTTGAAATTGGTTCTTTTAAAAATGGAATGTCATCATTGGCAGCTAGCCATTTAATAGCTAGCTAGCCAGTCAGCCAGCCAAACTAGCTGCCATGAAAGGGGATACAGAAATTGCACATCGATCCACAGCCCTTGTGACATATCATCATCCATCCACTGTAAAAAGGGCTGCCCTGTAGAAGCAGAAGGGACAGAGAGTCTCCCATTGTAAGCCAATGTTTTCATCATGTGCTGCTCCCATTCTGATGTACTTAAAAAGGCAGAGGAAACTTCAGAAGACAGCAGTGCTCTAGCTAAAACGCACTTTGCTCTATAAATGGAGCAGACTTTCAATGCACAAGTCTAGGATCTCAAGGCTCCTAACCAATCCCAGACACTGGCCAGTAGCCAAAGCACACAAAGCAGAAACACAACTTGCACTATAGTTCTGATGCCCAAGGAATTGCCCACAGTTGGGCAAATGTGAGACATGGTCAATTGAAACCAAAGCAGGGAGAGGCCAAGCTGGCCACAGCAGCAGGACAAAACAGGTTCCTTATGAAGCTGGCAATTTCCACTCAGCTTAAGGAGATTCAGAATAGCTGAAAGTTCAGGAATTTCAGTTCAACATAGTACAATCCTTGCATATAGAACACAAGGGTCAAGCCCTAAGTTCCTCCCTGTGATTCCCAGCTTTCAGCATCCAGATGTTACTTAATTAAAATTTATAAAAGTCCCAGCCAACTCAGTCAGAGGTCAGGGACTCTGGGAGTTTTAGTCCAAGATCACTTGGGCACCCAAGTTTGGGAAGCCTTTTCCTAGTGCATGTCTAACCTGAAAGCAGCAAATCCACAAGGTTTTAGAAAGGGATTTTTTCCCCTATCCTGCTGCTACATTCAGCATGAGATGGGAAAGCTGGAACACAGGGCTTTCCACATAAGATACAGTTTGAAATGCTTCTAGTCCTATTGAGCTTCAGGGCTGTCTGTATGTATTTTTTGTGGGGTAGGGTTGGTAGGGGAGAAAAAGCGTTTTTGCTGGGAAAACTCAGAAGAGATCTCAATAAATAAGAATGTCTTTGAAACAAGGTTGTTAATCTGCATTATATTTTCATTAATAAATAAGTTTTCTTTTAATAACACTGAACATTTCACAGATCGCCCCCCCCAAAACATATTTCTTTTCCTTCCCACACACAAAGAGACAATGTTTATAAAACAGTCACTCCCTTCCTCCTCCTCTTCCTACCCACTCACTCCTTCTCTAGAGGGAGAAAGGAGGAGAGGATGCCCAGAACACCTCTGCCCTAGCCCAAACGGGGAGGGAGAAGGGGAGGGCCTGAGAGAGAAGGGAGAGGTGTCTGCAATCATCCTGCTTGAGACAGGCAACGAGACAAGCAGCAGATGGAGAATATGACCAGGGCCAGATGTAGATATTAATTGTGCATTGGAAGGGGGAACAATTTCTTTTGAACCCTTCAAGTATGTGGAGGAGCCACTCCTGTCCAAGATGTCGCTTAAGCCCAGCCCCAGAGGCCTTCCCCGGAGCAAGGCGGGCCCTGGGCAAGCCTTCACGCTCACTGTCCAGCCAAGCTCCGATTCCCCCTTGTGTCTCTATCTGGAAGCACACGCTGTGGCTGCATGGTGGGAAGCATTGCGATGCGGAAGGGAAGGCAGGCCTGATCAAGCCAGGGAGAGTGGGGAACGGGACCCTTACGGACCCTCTCTAGGCCTGGCCCACAAGAACTAAGCAGCCCTCCATACCAAGCCCAGAAGGGCCGGCCGGAGGGCGCCAACTCCGCAATGGTTCCACCACCACCCCCTGCTCCCAAAAGTGGGCGAGGGAGGGGGGAGCCCTTCACATGACAGCGCAACTTTTTGCTTTCTCCTTCTTGAAAGTGGAGGAGATGAGCTCTGATCGGCTGGGCAAGCGGAGGAGTCTCTTGGGGAAGCTCCGAGCTGGGCTCTTAGAGGCCTGGGGACCAGGCTTGCTGAGGCAGATGGAAGCTGCCGTCCGAAAGATGCTGTGGACGCTTTTCTCCGATGTGAAGGCTGAGCACTCCAAGTACATCTCAGCACCAAGCTGCTTGGCTGCAGCACAGCCCTTAAATAAATAAAATAAATAAATAAATAAATAAAAGAGGGAGAAAGAAAGAGAAAATGTTGAGAACCAACCTGCTGACACCTGTCCAGCACAACAAGCAGAGTGTGAGGAATTTATTTTTCAGATGACAACTCCCAGACACTGCCCCAAGCCCAGATGCAAAGACTTGTAGTTTTTTTAAAAAGTTATGTTTTCCTCAAGCTCTAGGAATACAATTAAGTAACAGTCAGGAAGTGTCCCCGGTTAGGCTTTGAAACTGGAAGACATTAAGGGTTCTTCATGGCACAGCTTGTTAGGAGTGATAGTAGAGGAACAAATAGTTCAAATTGATGTCCACATGGCATTTGCTTATGTCAAAACTCTTCCCAGACTAAACTGCACTGAACAGTTATTCAAATCTTCACAACTTCTGTGACTCAATAGTGGTTTTCAAACTTGGGATTCCAGGATGTTCTTTGACTATAACTCAGAAGCCCTAGCAAGGCAGGCAACAGCCAGGGTTTATGGGAATTGTAGTCTAAAAATATTGCCCCCCCCCCATGTTTGGGAACTGCTGCGCTACAACACCCACTTCTGTGAAAGATCAGTCTTCCTGCTTTTGCATTTGAGTCCTTTCACACACACCCCAAAAAAAACAACCCAAAAACTCAGAAAAGGATTGTTAATTTTACAGAAAGTGGAGTAGCAGCCCCAAGTGCTGGTGCCATATAGATCATAAGAGAGGGAAGCTTTGGGTCCCCTGGACATTTTGGCTTATTACTCCTCTCTGCTGCACTCATGATAGCCAACAGCAGGGAATTGTGGGTGCTGTAGTCCAAAAATGTACACCCCATACTAACATAAACCATCTTTGTATAGCAGATATCAAGACAGACCAGTGGGCAGAATACCTGGTATTTATGACGAGACAGTAGATACCAGGTATTTTAGTTTAAGATTCTACTCCCCCCCCCCGGCACGCACATCCTTTCCACCTGGCACTACCTTGTAGTTCACCTCACTAATACAACTGGGATCTTGCTTTCGACTTCAAAGCATCCAGACTCAATGAAGACAGCTGAGCTGTATTTCAGCTGCAACTACGCAATATGCTCATGCATCACGCCCTGAAGTCTGCCATACTTAGCTGCCTACAGCTGTGATGCTTGGAGCATCTGGACTACAACTCCCAAAATCCCCATTACAGATGTGTTGCCTTGGTACCCCAATTCCCCCAGGACAGTCCCATTAATAGAACAATACCTGCCTGTAGGTCATGACAAATGCACACAGACATATGCACATCTATTTCATCCAACATTTCAAACAAAGTTCAGCCACACAGGATTTCTTTCATCAAAGCCTCTTCATGATCGTAAGCCTTTGCCAAACAAAGGTGGGCAGGCATTTGTCTGGTACAAAGCCACAAGATTTATGACAGTTTTTGTTTCTTTACATATTATTCAAACAGAATGATATTCAATCAATATGAATGAAGAAAAATAATAATTACAGCTATCAAGTTGATTCCAACTTATGGGGACGCTTTCTAGGGTTTTCCAGAAACAGTTTACCCTTCCCTTCTTCTGGTCGTGCTCTGGGATTATGCAGCTTGCCCAAGGCTACGCAGGCTGGCTTTCCTTCCTGAAGGCATAGTGAGAAATTGAACTCCAAACCTTTGGTTCTGCAGCCAGATACACAACTCACTGAGCTATATGGAACAGTATGCCTAAATTGTTCCAAAAGGATCTTCATAATACTTTTAATACAACGCCGGTTTCAATCTTTTAAGATATGCTTGGAATTTTAAGAGCACACCTATGAGAGTCTACATGCTTGTGCTCCATATCTGCCTCAATTCGAGCTGGAAATTAAGAGTTTTGTATTTTAATTTCTCATGCTAGCAATAACAGCAAGTGTCAGAAATCACCAACTGAGAATTAACTGACCGCATCAAAAAATGAAGAAGCCTGGCCTTCATAGGAGGGGGTTCATTGAATGAAAGATTCTCACTACAGATTAGCAGTGCACAACAGCACCCACAGGTGGGCTTACCTGTTCATAAGAAATAGGAGCCTGCTTTTGGTGGGACAACTCCATCAGGGTGCTGAGGTCTGTGCGCAAGTCTATTTTGCAGCCAATCAGCAACACACGGGTGCTGGGACAGTAATCCAAGATTTCTGTCTTCCACTGGAATGGGAGAAAGAAGAGAACAAAGGCACCCTGAACTTTCAAATATTCTAAGTATCAAAAGCATGGATCCGAACTACCGGTAGTAGAAAAATAGCTACAGAACCACCATATTCCTTGCACCTCTGTGCTTGGTTTAAAAGCTGCATTGCAAAATAGCAAAAGACTTTTCTGCCACACATAGCAAGTACGAGAGTTTTAAAGCAACATGTCAAGTGTGCTATGTGAAAAATTAAGCTCTCCATATTCCAGAGATGCTGGGAGCACATGGAACAAGCCTCTGTATCTTCCATTAAATTCAGCAGTTTTAACCCTGCGCCAAATTGCTCATGAAAAGAATTAGTCATCTTTCTAAAACTAAGAATGAGAAGGTGGCCATGATGCCTGAAGGGATCATGGGCCTAGAGAGCCAAAAACAGATTTCAAAGGCAGTAAGAAGCAAATCTGAAGGCAACTACATTAATGGGTTGATTTGCTTGATGTTATATATAAAGTGCTTTAAAGCCCGGCCCTCCCATCTTCAACAGGCTAGGGAGGGGATCTGGGTGTGAGCATTAACACACAATTGATAGCAAAGAACAAACTAACACAATTATCAGCCCCTGCCAGGAGACCATCCTATGCAACCATCTCTTCTCAGCAACCCTCTTCTCCAGATCTGTGCATTTTAAAAATCGCTTCTAGAAAGGTTTATTCCATCCCATGCTGACAAATACATTTGGCCCTAGCCATAGATTTGTGCCACGGGACTACAAGGGAACTGTCCATGCACTGCCATCTTAAAAGAAAAACCCTGCAGGCAGGCGATCACAGAAGACTTTGAAACAGATACTCAAGAGTTGCAGGTAATTTTCTAAATGCAACACTCCACAGGACAAAGAATTAGTGTTGGGACCATGACGTTTTGATGCAGGGCTGGGTATAACTCACCAGATGACAACCTCCATGGTCCTTATACTTGCTAGGGCCGATAGGAACTGCAGTCCAGCAACGTCTGTAGCGCCCCAAGTTGCATCATTTCCAAATTTATTGCACACCATTCAATGCAGTGTGAGCAGAACAAAACTTTCCCTCCCTTCCACTGCAGCCTCTTAAGTCACCAAATCTACTCAAGGACCTCCTAGATTTTGGAAAGCAGAGGAACTTCCAGGAATGCATCCCACTAACATAATCGGGGAGTCTGATGCACTTCAGCATTTGAGAGGTGCAACAGATTCTTTGCTTTTAAAAGATTTATTAGAGACCTGGAGAGGGAGATCTGAAGAAAAGCACAATGTTTACATTTTTTTTGTACAGCATTAAGAAATATTAAATGCCATAATTAGATTTTGAGCAGGGCAAGTATTTATGTGCCTCTCTGTGACATAACAGAACTTGTAAATATCCCTTCTTTAATTACAGTTCCTAGAATCCTGCAGCAGGCCTGGCTTATTAGGTATGGCTGAGAGATTCTGGGCACTGTGGTCCAAAAAAAGTAACTCTTCCGAGCTCTTCCAGTTCACTTTTAGCTCTGAGAGAAACAGAAATCAGATAGGGATCATGCTTTTAAAAAATGGCTTCCTAGGCCATTGCCTGTAATCTGTGTCCTTCCAACATTTACACCATAGTCCTCTAGGAAAGTCATCTCTTGGAGGGACCGGGGGGGGGGGGCCGAGGGAAGTAACATATTTTACTCCACAAACTAATCTCCTTGTGATTGGTCAGGTTCCATAAGGCGCCATCATAGCAGTCTTTTAAAATGCGGAACATCTAATTATACATGCACCTCCAAGCACAGCAGTGCTCATAACAATTTACATTTAATTGCAACATTTCAAAAGAGAAATATCAAAGGATGGAACCCCACTCCCAAAGTGTCAGAACATGTTCGTCCTGGGTGCCATACCTTGGCAAAATGGTTAGGGTCATCATGGGTTAGGCAAAAGTGCAGTATAGCAGGGGAGTGCCTATAGAGGGTGCTGCAGTTTTGCACTAAGATTTCAAGGGGTTTCTGCATAGAAAATAAAAAGGGGAAAAACACCCCCATTTGTTTAACAATACAGTGGTGCCTCGCTTAGCGAATGCTTCGTTTAACGATGAATTCGCATAGCGAGGGGGTTTCTGGGGGAAACTACTGCCTCGTATAGCGAGGCAGTCTATGGAGGAAACTCGCATAGCGATGTTTCCCCCATAGGCCACTCCTTCCATTTAGATCCCTGGAGTTCCAATACTACGAGATGAGAAGTGGAGCCGTCTCCCGAGCGGGAGCTCAGGACAGAGCCTAGTCTTTTGTCAAGCTACAGGTGAGCACGACCTGAAGCTCAGCTCTTAGGACCAAGAGGCAAGAAGCACCTGCAAGTCAACCTTCCTCACCTTCTTCAGGGCACTGTCCATGGTCTCTGGGCGGCTGACGTCGAAGCAGAGGAGGACAGCATCCGAGTCACTGTAGCACAGGGGACGGACATTGTCATAATAAGGAGAGCCTGTGAGAAGGAGACAGGGAGGTCATTAAGCAGCTCGAGACTCTCCTCACACGCACACACAAAAAGCATCCCTCTCTTGTGGCCTAACAAAAAAGATGTCCTATTTTTGGATTAGACAGCTCAGGTTGCATACATGTGTGCCCCCCCCATGCCCCAAATGCTCCCAGAAGAATAGAGAAGATAAAAGGAACCAGGCTTTGGCAGAGTTTCTGTGGAAGGACACTTCCTTTAGTTGCCTTCCGCAGGGCTCTGCGCACTCACACACCCCTTTTAATATTCACTGTCCTCGGGAAAGAGCTTCAGTGTGGTTTATATAACCAAGGCCATCTCCCCGCCCCCACTCATACAAGTGCTATCGACAATAGAAGAGGATGCAGGGCTTCCGTTTTTTTTTTAAAATGGGATTTAGAAAAGGAGAAAATGCAACAGACAGGGAGGAACAGGGGTTGCTTAGCAACATTTATCTCACCAGCAAGGGTAAAGAAAAATGGGTTGCGTACCTGCCAGGGACCACTATGCATGCGAGAAGAAAGGGAAAGGACTGCACAGGACGGTGGTGGGAGGGGGGACTGCTGCATAGATGCAAAGGGGGGCAGGAGGAGGAGGAATAGGATCACACCGCACCCCCCCTTCTTTCCAAAACAGCAGCATCCAAAATGCTTCTGCAGCCCAGACGCTCCGTGCCCAGAATAGCAAGCAGGCGCGGGTAGGCTTCAAGCCTTCCGGATCCCCCCCACCCTGTCCACGATGCCGGTAGCCTACCCCAGCCGTTCATCCCACCCGCCACCGGTTACCCTTGGGTAACCGGCAGCAGGTGGGATCCAAGCCCGGGATGCCTGAAAGGCATTCCAATCCCACCACTCTCCCCCTGCAGCTTGGATCCGAGCCGCGGTGGCTACCCCAGCCATGGCCGGACTCTAGGGAGTCAAGCCATGGCTGAGTTAGCCGCCGTGGGTCAGATCCAAGCCACGGGGGGAGGGAAAAAACCGGATAATCCGTTCCTATTGGAACGGATTAACCGGTTTCCAATGCATTCCTATGGGAAATGGTGCTTCACATAACGATGTTTTCACATAACGATGTTTTGTTTGGAACCAATTAACATCGTTATGTGAGGCACCACTGTACATGTTTTTTAGGGGATATGTGGTCTCTTTAACTGGACACTGCTTAGCACATTGGTATGTCTCAATCCAGCCCTGTTTCTAGATCATGAGAGGCGAGTCGGCCATCTTGTCTGAGGCGACTCCTTGCTTTTTTGGGTCATCATTGCCACTCCTTCCATTTAGATCCCTGGAGTTCCAATACTACGAGATGAGAAGTGGAGCCGTCTCCCGAGCGGGAGCTCAGGACAGAGCCTAGTCTTTTGTCAAGCTACAGGTGAGCACGACCTGAAGCTCAGCTCTTAGGACCAAGAGGCAAGAAGCACCTGCAAGTCAACCTTCCTCACCTTCTTCAGGGCACTGTCCATGGTCTCTGGGCGGCTGACGTCGAAGCAGAGGAGGACAGCATCCGAGTCACTGTAGCACAGGGGACGGACATTGTCATAATAAGGAGAGCCTGTGAGAAGGAGACAGGGAGGTCATTAAGCAGCTCGAGACTCTCCTCACACGCACACACAAAAAGCATCCCTCTCTTGTGGCCTAACAAAAAAGATGTCCTATTTTTGGATTAGACAGCTCAGGTTGCATACATGTGTGCCCCCCCATCCCCCAAATGCTCCCAGAAGAATAGAGAAGATAAAAGGAACCAGGCTTTGGCAGAGTTTCTGTGGAAGGACACTTCCTTTAGTTGCCTTCCGCAGGGCTCTGCGCACTCACACACCCCTTTTAATATTCACTGTCCTCAGGAAAGAGCTTCAGTGTGGTTTATATAACCAAGGCCATCTCCCCGCCCCCACTCATACAAGTGCTATCGACAATAGAAGAGGATGCAGGGCTTCCGTTTTTTTTTTAAAATGGGATTTAGAAAAGGAGAAAATGCAACAGACAGGGAGGAACAGGGGTTGCTTAGCAACATTTATCTCACCAGCAAGGGTAAAGAAAAATGGGTTGCGTACCTGCCAGGGACCACTATGCATGCGAGAAGAAAGGGAAAGGACTGCACAGGACGGTGGTGGGAGGGGGGACTGCTGCATAGATGCAAAGGGGGGCAGGAGGAGGAGGAATAGGATCACACCGCACCCCCCCTTCTTTCCAAAACAGCAGCATCCAAAATGCTTCTGCAGCCCAGACGCTCCGTGCCCAGAATAGCAAGCAGCCCCTGGCTCCCTGCACCAGCACAGTCACCATGGCAACAAGGGGGAATCCAAGTAGCCAGGGACCCCCACCTTGGAACCCCTTTAAATGAGGGGATGCTGCAGCAACAGGAGCTGAATGGTTGCCTACCCCCAGTTGCTAGGGTAACTCCACTACACCCCTTCAGCACACAATTACATTTAAGAGCCTTATTGTGAATAGCCACTGCTGCCTCCCCCCCCTCCTCACAGCACATCCAGATTTCTCTAGCAAAGTCCCCCAAGCCCCCTGTCGTGGGATGATCCCTCTTTCTCTTCCATATGCACACACAATAAGCAAACCTCTTCCCCTCTGCATTCCAGAAGAGAAATGAAGGCATGGAGGAAACACCTGCAGTGGGGGGGCAGTTGTGTTTGTGTGTGCAAATTTATTGAAAATGCAAGAATAGGGGGTGTGCGAGGGAGAAGGCGGCTGCAGCCTGTTTAACTTCCACCCTGAGAGACATCAGAGCCACTCTCATTCTAACAAAAGTCAAGGAAAGGCAGCTTTCAAGTCTGCTGGAGGAACACTGCTGTAGAGGTATTTAATTCTTGAAACAAAAATGCATTGCTTTTAAGAATTACTTCCCCTTAGGAAAGGGGTGGAGTCTGGGTTTCCTTTGGCCAGAATAGCTCTTACTTGACTACCTTCTCCATTCCTCTGAGGTCCTGCCCACCATCACCACTGCTGCTGATTCCCTAGGAGGACCCCTCAGTCCAAAATCCCAATGGCCCCTTTTTCCAACTGAGGACTGCACCACAGAAGTCCTCCCTCTCTTCAAAGCTCCAAAACACAAACTGCGCCCCCCCTTAATCTTTCAAATCCATCTATCACACCTTCCTGATCCTTGTGAGACCCAGGTGGATAAAGAGTACTTAACCTGCACCCATCTGCAATGTACCATTTTTGTTATGTGCCATCATGTCGCATCTAACTTACCTTGAAAATCCTATTAGAGTTACTGTATGTGAGATGTATAAGGTGTGGTTTTCCCAGGGCGCCCCCTCCATGATTTTCCCTGGATGAGCAAGGACTCGAACCCAGGTCTCCTGAGTTTTATGTCCATTACTTTATCCTCTACACTGTGTACTGCAATATATCATACTCTAAGCCTAAACAGATCATGAAGTCTTCCTGCCTCCATGAACGCTTTCCATTTTTAAAGACCTCAGGTTCTCCCAACATCCTCCCACCCTGAGAAATCCTCAAGTCATCATAAACGTACACAACATTGGTACAGCCACAGCTTGTTTGCCAGACAGCAAGACTTGCAAGTGACCAATTCTGCTACTCTGGTCTCCACTGCAGTAGAACTGGGTGTGGGCTAGCTGGTCCTTTTGTAGGATGAAGCCCAGAAGTGGGGCAAGAGGGAAGGAGAGAGAGAGAGAGAAGAGAAGCCTCACCAGAAGTGTCCCATAGACTCAGCTCCACTCGTTGTTCCTCTGTCTCCAAGCATGCCGTGTAGTTCTCAAAAACGGTGGGCACATATGTCTGGGGTGGAGAGAAGATACACACAGGTCACTGGGGCAGAAATTGGTGGCAGAGTGAGAAGAGAGGAAAAGTAATCAGTGTTGGGCCAGCATCCAAGGGAACAGATCACCTACTGTTTACTGTGCTACCCCTCAGCAGAGGCCAAGGTGGGTCTGCCCTGGAAGAAAGTTGGCAGGCAATCTAAAAATCACAGTCTGATTGTAATCTGGAATGGAGCTCTCCCAACCAAACCACAGAAAGGCATGCAAGTTGGAAGGAAAAGGCCTTGCAACCCTTATCACCTAAAACAATACCAGGTTCCCCTAACTAGTATCCTCAAAAACTGTGGACCACACCATCTGGGGATGATGCAAGTTGTGCCGGAACAGATTTGGAAAACAGGCACTCAGGAAAGGGTGGATGAAACACACACAGGGGAACCCATTAAAGGGGGCAAACGCCTCCCTGCAAAACACTATGGACAGGACAAGGGGCAGAAGAACGGTCCATGGCTACAAAGCCGGAGGTTGGGAGTTCGATTCCCCACTCTGCTTTCTGGACAGGGACGGGACTCGATGACCCAGAAGAGTCCCTTCCAGTTCTGCAGTTCTAAGATCATTACGTTTTTGCTCTCCTAGATAGGAATTAAAGGCTTCCCAGCTCTTGGGATGGAGAATGCAGAAAGCGCGGGTCCGAAGAACGGCCTGGAGCGAGAGGCCCGAGATGCCGCTCCATTCTTCCGCCCCGAGCCGGCCTCCTTCGGTGCTCTAGTGCCTGGACGCCACGCGGCCCCCACGAAAGCCCCCACGAGCTGTCCCGGAAAGAAACGCAGGGGGCCAGGCCGAGCACAAAGCAAGGCAAGCCAGAGCCCTTTCTCTGCCCGTCTCGTTCGGAAAGGCTAGAAGCTGCCCAACAAAGCAAGCCGGCCCAAGCGAGGCATCCCTTCCGATCGAGTCCCCCCCCCTCCTCCTCCCCTTACCTCCGGGTAGCAGTCTTTGGCCAGCACTTGCAACATGGCTGTCTTGCCAGAATGTACGTCTCCCACCAGAACCAGCTTGCACCGAGCCACCACCGGCTGAGGAGTCCTCCTTTCTCTCATGGCGACGTAAAGGCAATTCAATGCACCACCAGCTTCCCGCACCGAAAACCTGAACGACCCACCGCGCGAGAAATAAAGCGAGGAGCCCGGGGCTGACTGCTTTTATAGTAAGACATGGTAACCAATGAGAAACAGAGGCGGGACTTCTCGCAACCAATCAGAAGATTCAGGAGCCGGCCCCGATGACCAGTGACAGAGCAAGATATTTGACTTCCCTTCCCGTCGGAAAGATGCAATTTAAGCGTTCGGCTGCACTTTTCAGGAGAAGAAGGTTAATAGTTTTTTTTTTACTTGTTTTTAAGCGGAAGGGAAAAAGATATTAAACTGTCAAGTCTCATAAATTTAAATTTGGGACCGCCTTGTGCTTGTTTTTCCACGTGGTCTGTAGAACTGAAAAGGGTTATGAAATTACATTCTTTTTGGTTGTTGTAGGTTTTTCGGGCTGTTTAGCCGTCTTCTGGAGGTTTATCTTCCAAACGTTTGGCCAGTCTCTGTGGCCGGCATCTTCAGAGGTCAGGAGTTAGAACACAGACGGCCAAACAGCCCGAAAAACCTACAACAATCATCGGATCCCGGCCGTGAGAATCTTCGAGAATACCTTCTTTTTATTTGGATTTAAAAAAATTAATCATTAACTAAAAGTTTCTTATGTCCATGACTAAGCTGCGTCTTTATCCCAATGTTCTACGTAAAAGGATCTTGTTAGGTAGGTATAGTTCCTCAAAAACAAAACCAGCTTGTGTGTGATTCAAATTCTCGACTTGGAATTACAGGAAGCCTGTCCAGACCTCTGGATGTTGCAGAATCTGTTTTTGATTTGTAAGTTCTAAGTGTCTTTTTTTGGGATCTTAAACGTTACTTGTTTGGTGAACCCCTATAGTGATCTAATTTACTCTATGATGTAGTTTTAGGGATAGAGTTTCAGATTTTGTGAAAAAATATAAGAGTTGTAACAATCTGTGATTTCCCCCTTGCTTCTAAATACCAGCTGTTCTCCTCAAGTAGATTTCTTCTGACATTTTGAGCTTCTCTCACCAAAGAGGGAAAAACAAAGGCTACTCTGCTTCTGACAAGTGGCTATTCTCTAAGCGTCTTTTGTTAAGTCTAAATGTGGAGAAATGCAAAATGTTCATGTTACCCATTTATAAATCACATTGGAAAACAACACCTATTCAGAAAATACGAAGAAATAGGAAAGTGTCACGAAGCAACCTGGCGGGAAGTCTAAAAACAAGTCCTGGCTTGTGTCTTAAGGCAGTGGTTGTCCATGGATTGGTGCTGGTCTATGAGCCACCAGTTGCTGGTCTGCAGTGGGCTGCCAAGAAAGGGGTGGGGGTGGGGAAGGAAGGAAAAACGGCAGGCAGGCAGGAAGAATGGTCCAGCACTGTGTTGACATCACATAATTCAAGGTGGAGAAAGCATCATGCATATTAATATAGTACCGTATTTCTTGAGGCAACAGCGGGCCAGAAGCTTGGACCACATGTGCAGCCAATGGTTCTGAGAAGAAAGATTTCTCTGTGATGGGAACATATACAGATGCTTCCATCAGTCGAGCTGGTGACGTGTTAAATACAGTACATAAAGTGGCACAACAGTCTGCATATCTTTTCCCCATAGTGTGCTAGTCTCAGTTGAATCATGCCTTAGCCAGGGGGCAAATAAGAAGCAGGTTCATTGTTCACATTAGGAAACATTAGGTTTTTAAGTTTAACATGCTTACGAAATACATATTAAGATTAATTTTTTTCCTCAACTGAATGTAATATCTTCTTTTAATATTTCAGTGTATTTTTTCAATTCAGGTTTGTTGTTTTCTAAATATTCCCCCAACCCTGTGCCCGTCCCTAACACAACTGGGGGAAAATATTGCTGTTCTGCCACTTCAGGCAGTTTGAGAAGCTCTTTGTTGGGGCACATCACTGTCTGAGATAAATTGTTTGGTGACATTATTCATGTTTTTAAAAGCATGCTTAATATTGCACTTTTCTGCTTAAGCAAAAACAAGGACAAAATCTGACTTCCTGGTCCAGTTGCAGTGTAGACTGGGCCCCTGAAGCAGTTTCCTCTGGGGGGGGCAGTCAGTCCCCCCAGCTCTCTATCTCTGCTTTTTTATCCTGAAGAAAAAGACAAAACCTACAGTTAGATATAGACAAGCTGCAGCTAAAAACATGATGAGTGGGATCCAGATTAGAAATGTGGTTTGGAGTGCAGCCTCATTTTCATTATTGGCTTCAAAATAAAAGGGACAGTGAAAGTGTTTATTTAAAGTATAACTGAAAATGGTAATTTCAGTGATGGGGGCTGGTCTCTCAGCCAAGAAGTGATGAGGAGCACAAACCAGCATATAGGATGCATCTGAATACCAAAGTCTGACTAATGTCTGGGCAGTGCTGACCTTCAGGGCTGTAGCTTTCTGGGGCTTTGGCTGACCTCTTTTTTCCTGTTAGGAGTCTGAAAACTGACCATCCTTGGGTCATTGCGAGCAAAAAAGATTCCTAGCATCCTGTCTAAAAGGGTTGGGTCAAGAAATGTTGAAATGAGGCAGAAATGTTGCAAATAGTTACCTCCTCCCTTTTCATAAAAAACTGGCATTAGTAATAACCAGGGAGAGGATTTCTATGACATGTCATATTTTTTTCTGCAACTTATGTATGGGTGGGTTTGGACATGTTTATAAGTAATCTGGTGAGAAAGGCCAGATTACTTATAAACATGTTTGAACTTGCTTATGGGTTCAAATGTAGGTTGCAAAGAAAATGTGAAATGTCATAGAAATCCTTCCCCTAAATAATAAGTTACTGCCTGTTCATGACACCTCGGATCAGCTGCCTGAAGTGGCCACCTCACTCTGCGTAAGACTCATGCCAGCGCTGAAAGTGGTCAAAGTCCTCCGCTGACTTTCTCAACCAGTGGCTGAGAAAACAGTGACTAATATGCTAACTGTGTCCCTTATCCAGGAGGGGCTAGAGCAGGTGAGTATGAGCATACAAACAGGGTAGTGACGAGAGAGCAGTTTCAAAACATGTTTCCCTCCCCTCCTCTCCTCTCCTCCCCCCACCCCACCCCCAGAATACGAGAATTTATAGCTAGTGGAATATAAGAGTTCTGGGGGTGGAGCGCTCCAGCCAAACCCTACTGATCTCCAGCTTACAGTTATTTTCCTGCAGCTTTAAATGTGCATTCTGCTGTTGCAAGGGATTCCCAGATTCTCTTTTACACAAGTGGCAGGGAAGGAGGAAATGTAGGGTGGTGGGGAATCAGTCCATTTGTCACTAACAGGATACTAGCCAGACTCATCTGCTGGTGATTATGGAACACCTGATGCTCTTTGGTCTGACCAGTGAATTAGGTGAAAAGGAGGCTTTCAAGTACAGGAAATCAGAAAATAAGAAACCTCATTAAGCGGAAAATATATTTTTGTTGTTTAGTCGTTAAGTCCGACTCTTCATGACCCCATGGACCAGAGCACGCCAGGCCCTTCTGTCTTCCACTGCCTCCCGGAGCTGGGTCAAATTCATGTTGGTCGCTTCAAATTCATGTTGGACACTGTCCAACCATCTCGTCCTCTGTCATCCCCTTCTCCTCTTGACCTCACTCTTTCGCAACATCAGGGTCTTTTCCAGGGAGTCTTCTCTTCTCATGAGATGGCCACAGTACAGTATTGGAGCCTCAGCTTCCAGATCTCTGCCAGGGAGAATATATATCCCTCTCCCTTTCTTGAGCAGAATTCCTCCTTGTTTGCATTTCTAATTAGAAGCCAAGGGTTATATTTTAGCTGACCAAAGATCTTTTGCCTATTTTGCAGTCGGAAGTCAGTGTCACTGAGTTCAGGGAGCTTACTCCCCGGGGAGCAAACTGAATTCCAGCTCTCAGCAGGAAGTTGGATGCCAAGGCCTTATAGACCCCCTTCCCAAATCCATTATATATTCTATGCTATGTAATAATACACAGGACTGAATGCATGCTGCTCCCAATAAATTGGGTGTTACAGTATATTACACATTACTGAACCTTTTGCGTGTGTGTGTGTTTGGATGTACATTTTGTCCCAACAGGTTCTTGCACTTAAACGTTTACTACTACACTTTGTGGGTGATGAATATTTTAATTCTGCAGAAGCTGTTCTGGGGTAAGGTGTCTCCAGGAAGGGTGTGTTTCACTGTCAAAAAAGGGCAAAGTTGGGGAGAGTGTTTAACCTGTTCCCCACTAGCAGTTCTCCCTGGCAGAGAGCTCCATATCCATCTTTATGTGTCAAAATGGGTGTGGCAGATTGAGAAGGAGAGAAGATATGAGAAAGAAGGTTGTGAGCAGGGGGACTTAACTGTCAAGGGGGCATGTTTTGTAGCCTTTCTAGGTGATGTCACATGAAGTTGAGTGCCTTGCACTGGACTAGGGCTGAAACAATGGCGGCGTAACAGACTACAGAATGAGATGGAAAGAGGCAGCAAGGCCAGTGAAAACACTTTGCCTTGAACATCTTTGCCTAAGGAAGAGCTTTGTGTAGTTTGCTAGTCTATAACTGCCAGGTCTCAAGCTGATCCAGTGAAACAGAGCCTTCTCTGTGTCTATCTAAGCCAGTGGTTCCCAGCCTGGGGTCCCCAGAGGTTCTTGGACTACTGCTCCCAGAAATCCTGGCCAGCACAGCTAGCGGCGAAGGCTTCTGGGAGTTTCAGTCCAAGAATCTCTGGGGACCCAAGGCTGGGAACCACTGGTCTAAGCACTTCCAGATGGACATCTACCTAGCTAGCGCTTCGACCCGAAGACACTCTGTGTGCACAGGTATTCCATTTTCCCTTTCTTGACAGATTTTCTGTGGTAAAAAAAAAGAGGGTGGCAAAGGCAGTGGAAAAATAGGGAAGGATTGCAAATGGAAAAGGATGATATCTGTGTTCATGTATATGAACATAGGGAGAGCCATTGTAGAGAAGGGCTCTTTAGTCCAGCCTCTGGCTCCATCAGATGCCTCTGTGAGGCCCAGAAGGAAGACAGGAAGGCAAACATACTCTCCATCTTGTGTTCCTCAACCCATTGTCTCATGCTGGAAATGAAACGTGGCAATACTGTATATGAATGTACTGTATGTAATTTTCTTC